TGATTAGAAAGGATTATCATCACAGCACTCCAGACAGATCCATAGGTGCTCCTATCTACCCCTCAAAAGCTCCCCAAGTGTAAAACGACTAATGATGCCTGTTCTGTGTTGGTTAATGAAAAGTCTTGTCCTCTTAATGAAATGTTCATTTCTTGCAGCTCCAGGCTGTACCCCCATGTCCATCAGTCTAGGCAGGGATATGGAGTCATGTCCTTTGGCGTTCTCCTCGGTACGTTAAGTGCAGCACTTAGCATTGATAACATCACTTCTGTCCAGTACTGGGCCAGCCATAACAACTGCAGTGTCAGCAAGATAGTCTGCACGCTCGTTCCCGTGAACACCCGCATGACCTGGCAACAAGATGAAGGTTAGGGCAGATATTTGTAAAGTGCTTAGTGTTTCAATCCATTCTTGCCTGATAAATCCAGCTTGGATTTTTTAAAGCATATTCATTGAGTCACTAAGAAAGCATACGTGGGTGTACTTTTGAGTACCAAGCCATGCTAAAGTCCTTGTTTCAGCCATAGTTTCCATTGTAAGGCTACTAGTTGTAACAGCAAAGGCGCCATTCATCTCCATGATGGTTTTCCACCTTGAGCTTACTGTGAAGGTCCATGCACTTCGCTTGCCCCTAATGACTGACCCATCTGTGTAAACTACAGCATCACCTTCATCTGTGTTTTCGTCAATCAGTGCTTTTGACTAAAGTGTCAACAATGCCAGGAATCTGTTCTCTACAGCTTCCATCAAGTGTGATATGGACTGAAATATTGATGTTTGGAGAGGGAGGCATAATTATCAATTCATTTCCAAAATTAATGTCAGTAAGGCTGCAAACATGTTCGATGGCATCCTCAGCCCGACCCATCCAGGATTTGAATCGTTGTCTACTTGTTTTTTGTTGTTGCTTGAATAATTCCCCATAAAGTGGGTGTCAATGGTCTAATTTCACTTTGAAAAAAGCAACTACCCTGGATAGCTTGATTCTGTTTTCCATTGTGGGGAATCCAAGGGGTATCACATGGATTTACGGGAGGTGTCTCTAGTGCATCCAAGAATAATGCGCATTGCCTCGTTTTCAATTTTTTCCAGTCTGTTCATCTGTGTTATGCTGAGTGTCATGATGGCCAAGGCATATTCAATGGTGGAGAGAACTAATGCAGGATACAACATTACAAATAGCCATTGCTCAAAGTTTGCAGCTCCCATAACTTTTATCGCGGAGAGACCTTTCTTGGCTTTGGTTATAATATGGTCTACGTGTATTCTACGACAACGTGTTCGCTTGATAGCAAAGGTCCAACTGGCCTTCTCATGGTGAAGCTGTTTAGACCTGCAGCAAAAAGTGTGAGAGTGGGTCTCTGGCACTATAAACAGATGAGGTTCATCAGCTTGGAAGTGCAGCTTATCTAGGAGAAGGAAAAAAACTCTGATTTCAAACCTCTACTGCGTCGTGGCAATTCCCTATTTAGGGAACGTGCTTCGGGAGTAAACCCTGAGGAAAATTCGAAGGTGGTTTACACTGCTGCTTTGACAATTCCTGCAACGTCTTCAGTGCCAAGCCGTACTGACACTTGCACTTCCATTGGCATTACCCGTGACGCAGACAGTGTGTACCTGCTGCATGGGCAACAGCATGTACTTGCACAGACAAGTGTGCTAGCAATTGCAAATTGCTCCCATTACAAATTTTAGATAAAATGATTATGGAAACATATTAGGATAAAAAAAAGTGATAAAATGAATCGAGAACTGACACCGATGCGTTTGGAAATTTCTACACATGCTCCGGCCGTTTCCTCAGTGGCCAATGAAGAGTTCCCATATTGATGGTGCAAGATACAACCATTTTTTAAAGATCATAATATGAACACATTAACAAAAAATAGCATTTATGTGAGTTTTTTGTTGCTGAGCTAAATAGCTGTTCTAAAGCCAAGTTGACGAAGTTTCCTTTAAGACACACTTGTAGAGGTCACAGGGTCATGACACAAGTCACCCGATACATGTGCTGGTGGATGTATTCCATTCAATGCTTAACCCTGTTCATGTTTACTGATTACTCATTTCATTTATCTCTATATATTTCATCTTTTAAAATGTAAAATATTGATACATACGCTTTTAACAAATTTATTAGTGACATGTATAAACATTAATTTTATGAATTCTTTCTGGAATTCTAATGGGAGTGTCCCGAGTGCCGTGATGTCGATTCTTAATTAAACATTCATGGGAACGACTGCCATTTGAACTTACAAATGTAATGAGGCAAAGATACAACATTTCCGAAAAAAAAAACATATGTATGTAATCAACTTCAAGTATAATGACATTAAAGCAACAACAATCCAGCATAACTTTCAAAAATAGCTTTGAACTGTACTTGCCAATTATGAGACAATCTTTTCCGACAGGTAAAAAAAATATTTATATGTAACATTTTCCTGTGTAACAGAATGTGCAGAATTTAGTCTTATTAGTCTAGCCATTCACTCGTACAAAAAACATTATACACACAATAATAAAATCTAATTATTCAATGCTACATTTTCCACAGGACAAATTAGAAGTTATGACAAGAATCCTTTCTTTATTTCTAGCAACTTACTCAGCAGTATAAAATGTATATCATAAATCTCCATAACTGATTCTGATCACACAGGGTTCCACACAAGGGCAAGTGATAAAATCCACAGACATGAAGCCCAGACACTGTCTTGTACATCTTACTGGCTCCTACACTTGTTAACTCTTTCAGGACCACATTTTTCTGGGGTTTGGACAGCATTAATTTTAGGCAGAATTTTTTTTCTGCAACACAACAAAGCTAAAACCTGCCAGAAGAAAAAGTACTGACTGTATCAGGACATATAATATATCAAATTAAAGAAAAATGAATGCGGAATAAATCTAAACTATTTAAGTGTCAGTATTACAACAAAATATTATTAAAATCGCACAACATTCAAGGATATTAGACACATATGAAGATTATTAACATAAAAAATGTATGTACTTAACTTACTTTTTTACTGGTTCAACAACACTGCTATCCAATTCTATGAATTTATATGCCTTCTCTGTTCAATTATGTATCAGCTAGTGTTTATTTGAAACAATTAATTTAAACACTTTGGATGTTATGATCATTTTTGTTTGAAATGTCAGATGTCACAACAACCGAAAATCGGGAAAACAGTTGATCGAAACAGATAATCTGATTGAAATATTTTGTTCAATTTTCATATCCTAAACTAAATTATTGCCAGTAGGTTTGTTACTTAGATATCAGTCACAATATCAAGGCTACTGTCACCATCTGGCAGCGATTCATTAACGACAGAGCAGTATGAACAGTTCTAAACCTTTTCGCTTATTTTTTGGTACAGAAAACTCACGTAAAGATTGTATCACATCTAAATAATATTTTAAAAATCATAAAGTGGTGCAAAAGCTATGCGGAACATCACAAACAAAAAGACTTCCTTTCGCCAATCCTAGCTTTTCAAAATACTTTCATAAAAGTTAATTTTTCCCCGCAAACGGAACAAAATTAAATTGACTCTATAATTTACCAGTATACTGGCGACTAGTCCGATAGGGATAAATTCATATGCCAGTTTACTGGCAAAAAGTCCTTAAAGAGTTAAGACAAAAGAGAGGCACTTTAGTACTAGGTTAGGAAGAGGGCTAGGTGACCTAAAAATCATAACCACTCACGCATCGAGAAACTGGCCACATGGTGCTAGCTTCTGTATTATTACAAACTAGACTAATGATTACTCAGTGGTCAGCAATACACATATCATATTTACTTCCCAGATCATTTACTGGTACACAGAAATTCAAAAAATTCCCTGTGTGGGTTCTAAGGTTCCATTTTGGAGAATACGGAACAGGTGATTAATCTGGGATGTTTCCTTCAAAGACTGAGTGCATTTGCCTGAGAGGCAAGGAACCAGCAGTCTGCATACAAATAAGCCGGACTTGTAAAACAGATGTGATGCAAAACTAAAGTTATGGATCAAGATAAATGAACTACCACATTCTGCCATTGTTTACAGATGGTGAGGGCTTCAAAAACACAACAAAAAGCAGAATTAAAAAAAAAAATGGAATCTTTGGTCATTAGAACAACAGACAAGTGTGCTAGCAATTGTGCTACCCATTACATATTACAAATAAAATTAATGTGGAAACATATTAAAAAAAAAATGATGAAATGAATGAAGAACTGACACTGATGCGCTCGGCAATTTCCACACATGCTCTGGCCATTTCCTCAGTAGTCAACCAAGTGTCCCCATATTGATGGTGCTAGAAGCAACCGGATTAAAAGTTGGCTTGCCCTCCCCCCCACTCCCCCTTCTCAACTGCTGGTTCAGACTCTCTGCTCATTTCCAGATAATTCCTTTCCAGATATGGGTGTTGTGTCTGTTCTGCTGCACCGTTAACTTGATGAACGACAGCCTTCACCATGTATATACTAAAATAAACACAGCTGCTTATCAATCAATCAATCCTTATCGTGCCCTGAGGTAAATAAGGCAGAGACAAACTGTCACCACTCGATTCGATCCTGAGCCATCCTCTCTATCTCCAGTTTTGTCCTTCGCATAACCTTGAGTTCAGCCTCTGGGCCTGCATCTTCTTCGCTGTCCTTGTGGTGTCCATTGCATTGCCTGACTTGGTCATCTCTCTTTCTTCCTTCTGGGGATGTGTCCAATCCACCACCATTTTCGTTTTTTTTTTCCTTTTTCTAAATTTACATTTTCCAAGGCTGCCATTTGTTGTAATCTAGAATTTCTGATGTTATCTTACCATGTGAACCCCAAGAATCTTCTGAGAAGTCTTCTCTCAAAACCTCTGAGCATGCTCTCTATGTTTCTGTCTGTTGTATCTGCTTATAAAGTAACTAAAATATAAATCAAAACTGCCTAGTCTATAGGCATGTAATAATCACATCAGTTCAATCAACTTGCAGCAAACACAGCGGGCTAATTATCAAGTTTAAGATCTTTGGCAACCAGTCCGGCTGTTGTATTGTGCATTTCCTCCTTGTGCATTTTGAAATTGGCAACAGCTAATGGTCTGGCAAACTCCCATGCATACAGGTCTCTGAAAATTGTTAAACAGGTATTCATGAGTCAGAATTGTAAGATATTATCGAACAAAAAAGAATAAACAGCTAAAAGGCTTTTCTACAAACAGCAATTTAAATCATGAAGAAATTAAGAAAGACAGCAATTATTTCAATTTAGTGAATTGGAACTGATTTTTGATTGATTGTTAGCACACACAAAATATTTGAGTTTAATAATACATGTTTTTATGTTCACTACTCCTAGCTTGTCATAACAAGCACAGTGGTGGATTGGAAAAAAATAACAGGCATGGCACCAAGAAGGAACAGCAGGGTCTGACCAATATGAAGATGGGCACAGGATGTAATTGACTTCTTGAATATAAAAGTTCACGAGGTGGGAGAGCTGGTGAAGGACCGAGTTTCTTTCAAGCAGACCGCAATGAGAGCGACGTTCTGCAAAGGACCTGCTACATCATGATGATAACTAATGGCTTTTCTTTTCTAGAAGTTAAAAAATGTTAGATTTCAACTTACATATATAAAAAACTTCTTATGTAAAGGTTTTCCCCTGCAAATTATAGTCAGGTATTAGTAACAGCATCTTTCTAAGGCCTTCTGTCACGTGTACTGTCAATAATTGTTAATACAGCTGAACTTCCATGTAATAATGCCAAACCTCTTTTCTTTTGGTTTTCTGTAAATAACTTCCCTTTAGCTTTCTGGTTTCAAAACACACTCTAATTTCCCCTTCATTAGAATGCGGTTGTCTGTTTCTGATGTGGGTAATCAGTTCTCTTTGTTAACCATGGGGGCTCTGGGGTTCCATTTTAACTCTTTGAGTCCCAAGGAATGCATCATATGTTCATAGGTTACTGCCTAGAAGCCCAATGAATGCATGATGCGCCGATTTTAGTCTCTTTTGACTATCCCTTGGGCCTGTGATGCTAAACCCTCTGGGACTCAAAGAGTTAATGGGGTGAAAACAGGCTACTTAACAAGAATGTCATAGAAGGAGACTAATTAGGGGTGTTTCCTTCGAAGTCGTAGTGGATCTGCTTGAGAGGTGATGAACTAACAGTCTACACAAAAATAAGCCAGATCTGTCAAACGCACGTGCATGTAAAACTCAAGTTCTGAAACAAGACAAAAGTCCAGAAGTAAACGACCAATCAGAACTTTCCACTAGAGTTAGCTGGTAAACAATAAGATAATAAGTTCTCTTTGTGAGTTAACCCCCTTTTTAAAAAAAATCTATCCTTTATGCACTTATCTATATTGATAAAAATGTAAATGTCCGTTTGTGAGTGTTAGCTAATCTCCGAAAGTTCTTCGCCAATTGCTTTCAAATTTTGACATAATGTTGCATTCGACTACGAGCATGTTTTTATATAAGGGTGTCGCACAAAGTGCGAACGACATAGCACCAGCGATGATCACATCGGCATCTTGGTTTTGTTTTCCGACGATCCAATATTTTTTCATTGCTGCGTTTTGTTTTTTTGATAGGTGAACTCATCCTCAGGATGATAAAATATAATTTTTAAATTTCAGTTATTAGACAGTATATTACAGTATTCAGAATGACATATGAACTTGTAAATTAAACAGTAAAGATTTTCTTTCTGCACGGGCATAACGAATAACCAAAGTACTCTCAGGTTTATGGCAGTCATCTTTGCTATGAATACTTACTATGTTCTTAGCGTTTAGGAATGTATTAAGTTGCTAGGGGAAGTGAATATCCTAATCTGTGGTTGACCTGATAACAGCAAAGGTAACCCTGAGGTGGTATCCACTTATCCCAGTAGATACTTGGTCCCTAGCACTGTGTTTGAAACTTGTGAATTTCCACTGAATTAGGATTTATTCTTGGAGTTATGAGGTCAAGGTGAGGTATCTCAAACTCTCAAGTGCTTTTGGAATTTGAAAACACTGAAGCAACAAAATTATACGGACTAGTTTTACTTTAGGGACTCAACATTTGCACGTGTGTGTGTGAACTGAGAGTACATACTGTCAGTCCATACTGTCAACTATTACAGCAGATTCCAATGAAAGAAGCTGTGAGTAGTTCAAAACAATGCACTGTACACTGCTACCTTGTAAGAGGAAAAGATGTGCACATAGTTAAATAAAATGTCTGATAATTATACGGTCTGAATGTTAAACAGGACAAACCTGTAAAGAGGTCTCACAAACTTCATCCTTCCTTGTTCATTCAGAAAGTTGAGAACATGTGGCACACAGTCCTCCCATTTCACCTTAATACACAAACTGAGCCATCTGTAACACCACAATTACAAAAAAATTTATGTAAGGTAGTTATGCACAGATCAGACCACCTAAAAAATCTACCTATTAAAAAAAAAATACTAATAACGATAAAATTCAAATCACACTGACCACTTAGAGGAGAAGGAGAATAAGAAATAATCATTAACTGTTAGAAAAACTGAATGAAGAACTGTTTCCAAGCAGGCCCAAAAACAGCAACATGTGATCACTACAGACAATGAATAAAAGAGCACATGCTTATCATCCCATGATGCACAGGCTCTGTTTCTGAGAATTATTTCTTCTTCTTCTTCTTGTTCACCGGCTGTGAATTCCGGCGGTAAGTCGCGGTTGTTCATCCAAATGGACTTTTGGCTTTTACCTTGACCTGAGTTTTGCGTGTACATCCGTTTTACTGTCTTATTTGTTTGCAGTCCTCGTTCCCTGCCACATCGGCAGATGTACTCCGACTTCGAGGGAAGACGTCAAGCCTATTTCTAGGTTGACTGTGGCCATTGTTTTGTGTGGGTCGAGATGTTGCCTCATTTGTGTGGTGTCCTCTTTGACCTTTAACAGGTGTGGCCCCCGGAATATCCTCCTTAAGGCAGCCCTAGGTAGAATTGTCAGTCCTCAAGGGAAGGCAGGGGCAGATCATGGGCATTCCCCGCCATCCAAGGAGGCTTCCATAAATGCAGAGCCGACACATGATGCTCTGGTTCTGGGCTCACCCAAGGAATCGTCACGTCCTGCCCATGACTGCTTAACCTCACAACCGTGTATTGAGCTTCCCGCGCTACCAGGCTGCACTCTCCGGAGATCAGCGGGGAGCAGCCTGCAGGTCCAGGACCTTTAGGGCCACACAAATAGGTACATTCTTTTTCATTGTACGTTAGACACCTTTAACGTTGTTTCAGCTGTGCCCTTAGCACGACAGAATCAGGCTTCACCTGTTTGGTCCCAACGCTCGGGCGAGTGGGACCAGTGGATACGGACATTTGGCTTTTCCTACTCTGTACGAATTCTGATCGTCGGACTTTGAGCTTGCATGTGTGCCGTGGGGTATAACTTTGTCGGACATTATTTCCTAGCCAGCTTATGAAGAGTTGCTGCCGTGGTGTACCTCAGCGCGGTGACAACGACACTGAGGATTGACAGAGGATGTACGTGGGTAGGATCTTGCTGCGAGAAATCGCCCACAAGAGATGTTACTCGTCTTGGCTGCGGGTAAATCTCACGGTCAGGGTTGAGTCTCAGTAGCACAGTTTTCCATTCGCTTCCGAATTTTAACCGAGAGTTGTCATTTGATGGTACATTTAGCAAGCAATCCTTACTCATGTTCCGAATGAGTTTTGTTTTACTTTTCACCCATGCGTTTGGGGGCGGGCTGGTGAGAGCCAGAAAGGGTACTATACCTCTAGGGGCCGCCAGATCCGAGATCCCCTGCCAACTCTGTTAATGCTCATTTGAGACATTATCCGTCGCGCACGACGGGGACGTGCAGCAGGAGTCTTGCATGAGGTTCCGTAAAACCAGAACAGTGAAGGACTGGCGCCCGAGTGGGGTACGGAATATCTCCTTATACACATCACATCAGACTTAACTTCCCCTCATGCCTGTGACCGAAATCACAGCGCCACTCTGAGAATTAAGAAAATGACTTATTTTATTCAAAATCTGTCCAAAGAAGCTCAAAGAGCAGTGATTCAATTTTGTTTCAACTGAAGGATGTCAACCAGTGGACATTTATCAAAGAATGTAGGCCCAGTACGGTAACAAATGTGCGTCAAAGAAAATAATGACAGAATGGGCACTGATATTTCAGAAAGGACGTGAGATCCACGACCAGGTCAAGGGCATACTGTTGCAATAGAAAAAAAACATCACAAAAGCTGACACAAGTGAACCGTTGTTTAAGCCTACATTTACTAGCGAAAGAATTCAATGTGTCAGTTGGGACAGTTAAAAAAGTTATTGGTAATAAACTGCTATTTCAGGTGTGTTCACAGTGGGTACCATGTAATAAACATGTTAAACACTTGGTTGAGTGAGCAACCACAATCCTTTTTTTGTGTAGATGGCATTCGCCACCTACCTAAGCAGTGGAATGCTTGGATGAATGCCTAAAAAACCTTTTTTACCAAACCAAGGTGCATAATTAATTCATAATGAATGCTTAATTCAACTTTGCCACACTCGTTGATGTTTCTTTTATACTTCTGTAATAAAACCATTGGAACTGGTTTAAAATGAACACTCCTTATATATTCAATTAGAAAGTCTACTGATCTGTAAGAATTTTTAAATCATCTCACAATCATTTCAGACATCACCATAGCATGTGACACTAAGTGGAAGGAAACCAGTCTTAGCTGTTTTATAGGTCTTTAACATAATAAAATATTGCAGTGGAAATTTGATATTTCTTCAACATAAATAATAAAGAATAATATGTTAATCAACAACTCACTTAAATCTTGTCTCTGAATTCCGCACTCTGTTGAAGGCATACACATGTTCCAGGTGTTTTACCTTTATGAGGGACAGTGGTGGCTAAGCAGGGAAAAAAAAAAAAAACAGCAAGATTGTAAGATCTCATACAAAACCAATAACTGAACAATAAAATGGATACAACAGCTAACATAGTCGCCGTGGCGTAGCGGCTAGATGCTCGTGTGCGGATTTGAAGGTCTTGGGTTCGCTCCCTGGCGGAGCCGGACTTTAAAAAAAAATTACCTTGACTCCCAGGTCTACCCAGCCTTGAGTGGGTAATGGCTGGAGTCCCGGGCAGGTAAAAGCAGCGGGTGGGATGTTGACCACATCACCCATCTTGTGCCGATTGGTCTGTAAAAATATAGGTCTAGCCCTATATGCCCTATACACCTAAAGGCGTGGAAAAGGATCCTTTACTTTTACTCTTTTTTTTTTTACAGCTAACATGGAAGATGGTATAATAATATGCTTTTCAAATTATGTAAATAAAGTGAATAAAAGTAAAGCAACTATTTTTACGCCAGTGGTGCATTGGGAATATGATGCCAAACTCATAATTTTATAGACCAGTCAATACACAGTGGTTGTTGTGGTTGACATCACACCAGCATCTTTTACTTCAGGACTTTGCCTGGTACCCGTTTAAGGTAGGGTCCGCTTGCAAACCAAGGTAATTTTTTAAGAAAAAAAATCTGACAGGATGTGGATTCGAACCTAGTACACACAGGCTGGAGAAGAGCATGTAGTTGTTTCATCACGGCGGCTCCTGACAAATCACGTGTTGGCTTCTGAAAGTTCCCAAAATGTTTTTATTGCAGAAAAGTAATTTACACCAAATGTCTTTCAAATCAGGTTAATTTACTTTGGCAACTACACACTTTTACTAGCGTTCATACCGATTACTGATTTAATAATCAACATCATAGCACATCAGGCATAACCACAGATGCTCAGTCTCCCGCAAAAAATGTTTTTAGATGTAGATGCTAACTGTTCCCGTAGGACACTGATTATACTCACATCATTCTCTTCCTCTCATCAGTGCATCCTTGCAAAATCCATATCCAATTTGTTGTTCACACATTCTTCTTCTTCTTGGCGTTCACCAGCTGTACACTCTGGCGGAAAGTTCTGATTGTTCGTCCACACCTGGACCGCAGTCCTGCTCCAGAACCTGAGTGTTGCATGTGCATCAGTTTTACAGATCTGATTTACTTGAATGCAGACTGTTGGTTCCTTGCCTCTCAGGCAGATGCACTCTGACTTCAAAGGAAGCTACCAATTAGTCGACTCTTACGACATGCTTTTTGGTAGGCAGTGGGTCTATTCTTGTTTTCCCCCACAATGGGACCCCGGATCCCATACGGGGATGTTCACACATTCTTTCACATGTTATTCTATCTAACCTCGTGTCTTCTATCAGCATTAGTTCGTAAATGGTCTTCAAAATGTCTCTTTTGTCCAGTACGAGTGTTCCTGCAGCTATCGCTTTTGTCCAGTACAAGTGTTCCTGCAGCTATCGCTTTTGTGGCCAGAAAATCTTTTTTCATTCTCTCACACTCCTGCATTTCCCAAACATTCATAAAGATGTTGGCTTCTTTTCCAATATTTGACAATTTTCTCAGCTGCATTGTGACCCTGGTTCTAATGTCACCATTCTCTTTGAATTACTGACCTCTGTGTGCCAGATAGGAAGAATATGGAAAATGTTTCAGGGTAGAGACATTGAGCACTGGGAAGTATTATTTCACCTGGGGTTCATGTAGGGTCTATGTCCCGATATCATGCCTGCATACATGTTGTTTTATAGTCTCCCAAATCTACACAATGACGACCCATCTCATTATTTTTAAATAAGCCTTGAAAATTGTATTTACATAAATAGTAAGGATCTGAATATTTACACCAATTTTTAAATAAGTCTTGAAAATTGTATTAAAATACCCAGGAAGGCTAACCCGGTCAATAAATGCAACAAATGCCCACAGAAGTTGGATGTGTTGGCCGAAAGGTGCAAATATCGCAGCTATGCTGTAAACAGACACAACGCAATTACATCTTCGGATGAACGCAGAAGAAGAAGAAGTATTAAAATACTTAGTTAAGATCTTATTATTAATACAGTTAAAAAAAAAAATAACAATTAATAAAATGTATGCATGCTCCACTGTCCCCAATGAAAGTAAATATATTTTCAAAAGCTTACTTCTTGTAAGACAAGCTGTGAAAGAAACTCTCTAACAAGGATGCTTGGGAGGCTGTTGATATCTTCAGGAGAGAAGACATCTAAAGCATCATCGGACTGCTCTATCCAACGTCTGGCTAAGTTGTTACTTGGATCAGCCAAGCTCAAATCATAACTGTGTGTAAGGTTGGGAATGAATGAGAGAGAATACAATATGTTAGCATGTTTAATACAGACAGGATAAAAGTGGTCAATTACTTCTTCTTCTTTTCTTTCACCATTTACCTCAGCGAGGTGTTGGGGGAGAGGTAAGGTTTGTTTGTGCACTTTCTCCAATGCATTGTACAAATTGGTGTTTATTTCTGTTATGTTGCTCCTAATGGTGTCGCTCCATCTCTTGTGTGGTCTTCCTTTTGCTCTGTGTTCATTATATTTCTTCAGCGTGGCTCTCTGTGGCAGCTGGTACCACAGCATTCTTGTCAGGTGGCCAAACCATCTCATTTGTTGTTCTTTAATGAATTGTATGACTGGTTTTGTCCTAGTCTTCTTCTAATTTCTTCATTCCTGATTTTATCTCTTTTTTGTCACACTGGCAGCTTTCATAGGTCATCTCATCCCTGTTGTTACAATCTTCCACTCATCAGTTGTAGTAAGGGTCCATGTTTGGCACTGGTAGCACAATTACTAAACATGTAAATGTATTGATTATGTTTTCTGTTAAAAATGAAAAACATCCAAGACAAATCAACCATATTAATTACTAGAGAACTAGAGTTAGTATAAAATATTATTTTTATTATAGACTTTAAAGAGTCAAGATAATATAAAGAGTGAACTGATAATTCACAGTGATCTGCTTGCTACAAGTTGGCTTGAATGTAAACATCAGCAGTTTAAAATAAAACTACTGTGGATAATAATATTAAGCATGATATACATTTATTTCACAACAGAGTGAACTGTATGTATACAGAAAACACTTGACAAATGGCACCATACACTGGGTTTCAAATGATAATGAATTGTGTAAAACACAACCATTAAATTTTACGTTTTCACTCTGTACCTATACAATGATTTGCTTCAAAATTCTACTGAAACATAAATAAATAACTTGATGCTCTTCATATCTAAAGTAGAAAGAACAATCACAACACTTATTTCACCTCGGCTCATAGGGAGGCATGCCCAGTCCATGAAACCAAACTTCCCAGTCTACTGTGTTCAGCTTTATATTATCCTCCTAAATATAGCATTTAAGAAGATTAACTAACGATGACACTAAGAAGTTCAACAAACATATTAAACAGAAATTACATTAAACACATAAAAGTTAAAGCATAAATAGCTGGTGGCAGGTAAAATGACAACAGTCCAGATAAACTGTCATCCAATTACCTTAAATAATACAGTCATCCAATTAAATTATATAATGCGACTAGTCATCTCCTTGTGGAAAACAATTTTTAGTTTTTTTGGAGCCCCACCCTGGCTTTTGCCTGGGGCCCTAAATATAGCCAGGCCTGAAATATGGCCTAACGGCTGAAGAAAGTTTCCGGGACCTCTCCACAGGTGATCCTCATCCGCATGGTGGCACTTTGTGTCAACGGGTGTTTATCTGATGTTCTGGTGGGGTACAACTTTCCTACCTACCTTAACTTATATAATACTGTCATCCAATTAACCCATATAACACAGTATCCAATTAACTCATAACACCTTTGATGTGACTATAAATAACTGATCACAAACACCATCAATTAAATTATTTATAAATTTAAAATATTAACATATAATTGCTGCTTTATGTTTTCTATTCATATAAGCAACTGTTTAGGGCATAAAATTGTCTAATTTCATTATATTTTCTAAATACTAACATACACAAAATCTATACACAGCACAGTGAACGGCAACATATAAGTTCTTGAGTGCAAACTTCAACTGCACTAACATGCTGAGAGAAGAAATACAATCTGGAAATAAAATATACTATGCCCTTAAAATCTGCTAAAGTCAATGTCTACCTCACAACATCAAAATATACAAAACATTGATAAGACCAGTTGTTTTATATGGCTCTAAAACTTGGAGCACAACCAAAAGAGATGAAGCCTTATTATAATTTTTTTTAAACAGAGTCTAAGACGAATTGCTGAACTCATAAAAGATGCACTGGGGAATGGAGTGTGAGAAGCAACAATGAAATCCATAATCTGTTTAAATCACCACTGATCATTGGTATCATGAGGGCTAATAGACTTAAATGACTGGAGCATGTTGAAACAATGTCAGATGACAGAAGTAAAAACTGTATACACGATGGAGCTGAGTATTGTAAATACCCTTGCTCCAATGTTGCCCAAGCAAAAAATGGGAAGTAAAGGTAGTCATTGTAATGTTGACCACATTCCCCATAAAGTGCCAACTGATCTACAAAAATATGTCTGGCCTCATATGTCTGATACCCAAAAATACATTTATACCTCTGAGGAAAAATATTCATAGAGAAACTGCTTCCAATCCTGCGTGTTGATAGACTTGTACTTGAAATTGTTTATGTAAGCTTTCAGAAAAGGTTCAAACACAGCTGAAAACAAATGTCAGTTATTATAAAACCAAATTCAATTCTATTCAAATATATTACTAAGGTAACAAAGAATATATTCTCTTCTGTCAGGTAAATAGTTGTTAACTTGATAATGTGCAACCATACATCATTATTTAATTTTTTTTTGGGTCTGCTTCTTGAAGTCCATGCTGTGTGGCACTGGTGGTTATTTCTATCCACAACCTTGTCTCGTGTACTTTCATTCAACTCTGACACAGATGATCCTCTATGCCATGATGTCAAACAGTCCAGATCTTTTCTCATGGTCTCCTTTCGCCTCTTCTCCCCTCCAACTTTCCTAGTGTTGCCACATGACCAAAGAATGTAGATTGTCTCTTTCTGATGTGGGCAATCAGTTCTCTTCACGAGTCACTTTCTTTCAAGTCATCCTCATTACTCTTTTTATCTGTCCAGGGTATTCTCATAATTTGTCTATACCACTACATTCCCGCTAACTATCCATACTTCACTTCCATTTATCATCAAGATTGGATTTGCATAGGTTTTAAGAATTATCTTTCTCGTAGCTCTTTCAGTTCCAGATAAACGTTTTAAATCACACACACACACACACACACACAAAATTAAGAACCATAATTCAACAATGATCCAGGTGACTGGTTGGAAAGACCACCCTTTGTCCATTGCCGTCACCTTTTGAACTCCAGACATGCAGTAAACAAGGACAGCACATTTTGAATTCTTCATAGTTCAAACAAAGCCAGGGTGCTAAGATTTATTGAAGCCACCACTATTCATTACTTCTGTTCAGAACTATGCAAACAGAAAGACATTGTAATGAGACAGCATTTGCCTGGTAAAAGGCAGTTTGTAAATTTTTCATTTTTTTATAGTTAAAGTGGTTGAATTTGTATTTGTACTACACTTGTAAAGGAGTCACTTACTTGGTTAATTTTATTTAACTGTTACTGTAGTATGTACCTGATGAGATACAGCGAAATATGCCAGGTAATAAATTGTGCAATCTTGTTTGTAACTTTTTTCTTCAAATTTACAGCAGTGAAACATTGTTCTGGTTTTCTGAATGAATATTGGCTTGATCACGGTATGAAACATGGAACTAAATTACTGAACGTGTTAAAGGATTAGAAAAAAAGGATCTCCTAAGAAAACCTACATCACCTTTTTTTAATGCGGACCAAGAGGCAAGCAATGCACCAATGTATGTAGGAAGAAGCATGGACAGAGCAGATATCATCAACACTATGGAAGGGCTAGTGGGTAATGACAAATCTTTGACACTAACACGATTGTGCGACATGGAAGTAAAGCCGCCTTTGAGGTCGAGATAGGAGACATTATAATCAAACTCTCATGGGAACAGTTAGTAGCACTACCCTGGATTGGCTGCTGCATCGGAGGACTGAAAATGCAGGGGAATGTCCAAGGTGCCGGGACGACGTTTGTGAGAACACAATATAACATCATCAACGCAGACAGTAATATTGGAGCACAGATATATAAAGTAGGCATTTAAGAGTATACTGCTCTGTGCAGATGAAAGCTTTCAGAATATACTTACCTGGCCCTCCTAACAGTGTTTGCAAGTAGTGCAGGAGAGCAAATCCTTTCTCATATGGTACTGTGGAAAAGGCATCATCAGGATCAACTCCTGTCAGGTCAGGAACCAGTTTAGTGAATTGTTCTTTTCCAGTTTTTGTTAATGTATCCACCTGTCAAATACGGAACAAGAACCAAAAAACCTTCAACAGTATAATTTTATACAATTTATCAACAATATGCTTCAATAAATTAATACTGTGAATTCTGTGTTTCAGTTTATGTCACTTAAAATTTGAAAATGGCTGAAATGATTTTTATATTATTGTCTTCAGAGTACGGAATGCACATCTAATAAAATAATAGAATGTGTGGATTTTCCACAATGGAGCAAAGCTGCAGTGAACATGTGCACACATGGATGTCTGAAAATATAAATGTTAATGTTTCATTCCTGCATGATCTGAGCGTATGGAGAATTGGCTCACAAACAGCATCCTGTCCCGAAAGCTGAGGTATTTTTGGCCATGTGAAACATCATAGTGGCCTGGGGAGAATGGTGATGGAGAGTATGTTTCGGGAAAACAATGCAGAGGCAGACCTCTATGAAGGTGGATACAAGACATTACACTGGCTATAAAAGCATACAGGACTGGAGAATTGGCCAGAGAATGAGAAACTTTCCAAGATGAGCCATAAAGGCTGCAGTAGGGATTAGAAGAGATAAAATCATGAATGAAGTCTTTAGAGAGAAAAAAATTAGTACAGAACTCATTCTAAATTATATACAAAGACAGCAAATAAAACGTGTTCACACTTAGAGAGAATGCCATGTGAGAGGTACAGCAAGGGTAGACCAAGAAGAAGAAGGATAGATAACACTGGTAATAAAACAGTATGAGGTCTCTATGGTTGAGGTGACCAGGGAGAAAAAAAAACCAAGAACCAGAATCTTATACTGCCATTGACACCCGAAGCAGTAAAAGTGGAAGTGAAGAACAAATTAAGATTATTTTGAATTTGTTTGTCTAGCTTCACCTCCATTTTCTGCCTACACTTATTCAAAAATCCAGAAAGGTTGAAATCTCCTGTACTTTTCTTATGGCATGTACATTTTTACAGCAAGAAAGATTATGGTAAAGGTGAAGATTAATTTGACGTGATTTGTTTTGATGAGGGAGTTAAGCCCAAAATCAGTTTCTTGATTATTTCGGTCCCCAACCTAATAACTGGAAAGAAATGGAAATATTTTCAAAGTTAAAAAAAAAAAAAAAAACTTACCTCTGACTGTAAACTCTTCCACCCCTGATAAGAGTGGAGTTGTCTGTAAGGTTCACCATGGAGTCTAGCCAAAATCATTCGCTCCACAAACCTTGTATGGCCTTCGTTGAGCCTATAGTAAACAGTTTAAATAAGTATAAGATAATTTTCAGCATTGTCTAGCAATCTTCACTGAAAGAAAGGTGAGATATCTGTTGCTATTAATCCAGAAGGCTAGGTATTTGATTCCTTACCTGCAGATCACAAAGGAACATTAAGTTACTTATCTGTACTGTGGTGATTCACACTGTCTTGGTCTTAGTCGAGGTTTCAACATGACTACAAATGGGTCACCCCATACTTGCTCGGTTACTGAGCCAGTGAAAATCAAATGAAATGCCCCTCACTGTCCCACTTGAAAAACCGGTAAACAAATAATTAGTCCCGGTATAATCCAGAAACATGTGCACCCAGTAAATGCATAAGGCAGTTGCTGGAAGCGCCAAAGCCAACAGTCGCCAGGAGGAATATTCAGTTTGTCGTTGATGGAAGTAGTCAGTCATGATAAGTTGGCTATACACATGTTAAATTATTACATAAGGTATTTTACAAGCCCACAAGTAAACCGGCTACCTGATATACTAAACACCAAGACTCAACCGCTGCACAAATAAAAGGCATTCCACATGAAAAGCACAGCTGACAGTGACGCAACAAGTGTTTAACTCAGTAGCTTAGACAGCGAAGCTAGACTTCCGTCCATATGTGGAAACTGCGTTAGCAAAGCACTGTCAGAAGTAAAAATAATTTCAAAGCTAAACATTCTGCTATGCCTAGTCTTCCATATTGGGCAAAAAGTCAAGAGGATTGATTTCTTTGCTCCAGGTTTTATCCTATATGGTTCAGTCTCTTTTCTAAGAATGGCTAGCGGCCTCCCCAGAGTGTTTCACACCAAGCATAAACTCCGTAGCTCTGGCAATGATCCCAAGGACCTTCATAAAAATGTCATTCGTGAACTGAACAGTACAGCCATGAAATGAACCCACAACCTTCAAAGCGCTAGACAAATGGCTTGACCACTTCACCACAGAGATGCCCGTCCAGAGGCAGATGTCATATCTCCAAGCCAATCTATCCCCATAATTACAAGTGTTTTATTTAATCTTCTAGAACAGTGGTTCTCAACATGTGGGTCATGACCCTTTCACAAAGGCTGCCTAAGACCATCAGAAAACACATATTTATTGAAGTTATAATGAAAATAATTGAATGGTTGGGGGTCAGCACAACACGAGGAACTGTATTAAAAGGTAGCAGCATTAGGAAGGTTGGGAACCACTGTTCAAGAATAACAATTGTAACAGAATACATATGCAGGGGGGAAAACCAGACATGAACTCCTAGCTCACCAGAAATGTTCAGGAGTTTTGTTGGTGACCAGGTTCCCAGTCCAGCTATGAGAGATTTCATGAGCTATTACATCAGCCAATGATTTGTCTCCTGCCTGCAGAACAGTGTGAGATCAAATAAGCTGTGTGAACTACATGATTAATTTCATTATTAATACCCAATACTAAGTTATATTTACTATACCAAAGATATATAAAAGATAAGTAAAATAGCTAAATCTGCCAGTGGATGAACATTTGCAATATAGTATAATTTAGAACAAGGGAATGCTACAATGTGACACACAAGTAAGACAGAAATTTTTTTAAGAGGTGCTTCATTTAACTGTCTTTGTATAGGTGCAAACATCGGAAAGAAGATGCACCTGTGTCCATTGCAACATCTTCCTACACCATACTTGTCTACTTCTCACACCATACTTGTCTACTTCTCACACCATACTTGTCTACTTCTCACACCATACTTGTCTACTTCTCACACCCCACTTGTCTACTTCTCACACCATACTTGTCTACTTCTCACACCATACTTGTCTACTTCTCACACCATACTTGTCTACTTCTCACACCATACTTGTCTACTTCTCACACCATACTTGTCTACTTCTCACATCATACTTGTCTACTTCTCACACCATACTTGTCTACTTCTCACACCCCACTTGTCTACTTCTCACACCCCACTTGTCTACTTCTCACACCCCACTTGTCTACTTCTCACACCATACTTGTCTACTTCTCACACCCCACTTGTCTACTTCTCACACCATACTTGTCTACTTCTCACACCCCACTTGTCTACTTCTCACACCCCACTTGTCTACTTCTCACACCATACTTGTCTACTTCTCACACCATACTTGTCTACTTCTCACACCATACTTGTCTACTTCTCACACCATACTTGTCTACTTCTCACACCCCACTTGTCTACTTCTCACACCCCACTTGTCTACTTCTCACACCCCACTTGTCTACTTCTCACACCATACTTGTCTACTTCTCACACCCCACTTGTCTACTTCTCACACCATACTTGTCTACTTCTCACACCCCACTTGTCTACTTCTCACACCCCACTTGTCTACTTCTCACACCATACTTGTCTACTTCTCACACCATACTTGTCTACTTCTCACACCATACTTGTCTACTTCTCACACCATACTTGTCTACTTCTCACACCCCACTTGTCTACTTCTCACACCATACTTGTCTACTTCTCACACCATACTTGTCTACTTCTCACACCATACTTGTCTACTTCTCACACCATACTTGTCTACTTCTCACACCCCACTTGTCTACTTCTCATAAAAAACATAATCCTTTAAAGATAATCCTCAGGAATATCTCCAAGTCACAGAGTGATCTACACCGAGCTAAATGTCCAAACTTTGTCAAGAACACATTGTAACTTGATAAAGTACTAACCACTGGATCATCTTGCTCATTTTCTGATATGTGTAGTTGGTGGTGACCCAATAGCTATTCTACTTCTTCTTCTTAGCATACTTCTTCTTCTTTGCGTTCACCAGTTGTAAACTTCTGGATGTTTATCCTTCTTCTTCTGCCTTTCTAACCCCCAAAGGAGCATAGGTCTTCAACCCACTCACACCAAGACATTCTATCCATTGCTATCGCCTGCAGCTCTTCCCATATCCTCCCCATATTTTCAAGTTCACTCTCTAGCTCCCTTTTCAATGTGTTTTTTGGTCTATCTTTATTTCTATGCCCCTGTGGGTTCCAGTGCAAAGATGTTCTAGTTATACTGCTCTCAGGTTTTCTCAACATGTGTCCTATCCACCGCCAGCATCTTTTTTTCACCCCTTGGTCCACCGGAACTTGTTAAGTTCTCTCATTAAGCTCTACATTAGTGATTCTATCATACTATTTAATTCAGTCTATTCGGCGATGGCACCAGTTAATGAATGTTTGCAGTTTACCAGTAACTCCTTTAGTTGTTCTCCATGTTTCCGCACCATACAACAGTAGTGAGTCGTCATTGGAATTTAAAATTTTTAAGTTTAGTATTATTTTTAATTTCTTTTGACCTCCTCAAATTCCCTAGTGCTATGAAAGCTCCTCTTGCCTTTTGTAATCATATTTTAATATCTCTGTCAGTTCCTCCATCTTTATCTGCATCACTGTCCAAACAGGTGTAAGACTCCACGTCTTGGAGTGGGGTGCCATTAAGAGAAACCACATTACTATTTGCCCGATGTATTCTGATTATCTTTGTCTTTCCCTTATGGATTTTCAGACCAAGCTGCTGTGATCTTGCATCAAGTTATTAACTTTATCTTGCATCTGATTCCATGAGTGGGACAGAAGAGAAATATCCGGGAAGTCCAAATATTAAGCTGGGTTTGTAGGGGTCAACTGAATTCCATTCTTGGTGTTAGCAGTTGCTGTCTTCATAATCCAGCCTACTGCCAGTAAAAAAACAGGAGAGGTGACAAAAGACATCCCTGTCACACACCTAACCACTGGATCATCTTGCTTTATTTTCTGACCTGTGTAGTTGGTGGTGACCTGATAACTATTATACTTCTTTTTCTTCTTAGCATTCTTCTTCTTCTTCTTTGCATTCACTGAGATGAAAAGTTTTTGGGTGTTCTTCCTCATCTGGACTTTAGTCTTATTCCAGAACTTGAGTGTTGCATGCCCATCTATTTCACAGATCTGGCTTTTTTTTTGCATGCAGACTCCTCACGTACCCTGACTTCGAAGGATGCTCCCAATTATTGAACTTCTACGACATGCTTGTTGGGGAGGCAGTGAGTATATTCGTGTGGCTCTGGAACCCAAAAGAGGATTCTTAGCATTTACCGTCTGCAATGTCTGGCACAAGGTTCTGGTTGTTCGTCCACATCTTCCAGGACTTATGTTTTGCGTGCACATTCATTTTAAGGACTTTAGTTTTGCGTTCACATTCATTTTACAGATCTGGCTTATTTATATTTAAACTATCTGCTCCTTGCTTCTCAGGCAGATGAAACCTTACTTCGAAGGAAACAAACATAATTAGTCACCTTTTATGTACTTGTTAGAAGCTTATTGAATGAACTGTGACTGAAAAGCTCAACTAAAGGGGAAGAAATCCCCCTTGCATTAACATTTTTAGTCACAGTTCATGGGATTAACTTCTTGGCATTAGCTTGACTGCAGTCACCCCTGTTTTCACTACCTGTTATAGAGAAGACCTGCCCACATTATGAAAACTCTTCCACTAATTATATCATGCAACTTCAGGATTGTTATTGCCATCATTTATATTTAGTATGCTTTTTCTCGGATCTCAGTTCTCAACCTTTCTGCAGTCATTTTTTTTTCCATTATTCCCATTTCCTCCCTAATTCTTCCCCTCCATGACATTTTGTTTCCACGAATCAACCTCAGTCGGTGTATCATTCATATTCTCCTTGCATGTATCTTTATATCATAGTAGAGACCAGACTCAACATCTTCTACTTACCAACAATGTTGGAGTAACAAAAGTGAGACAAGGGTTCTCCATTCCACCATAAGGAAAACTTGGGGGCAACACTAGAAGATCATAGACTTTCCAAATATATGGTCCCATCAGGCTCTCTGCAGTCTGTAACATTTCCTCTGTCTGCCAGACACCAGATAAAAAGGGTAGTTAAAAAAACTGTTGATCTTTATTTTTAAAAACAATTTAAAGAAGAGACAAAGGAGAGCTACTCAATAACAAAGTTATGCATGCACTGCAAAACTAAAGCAGATAATATTTTTTTAAAAATAATTACATTTTATTATTGGTAATTTACACACACACTCATGCATGCATGCACACACATGTCCTGTTCCAGAATAGCTACTAAGGAAAAAATGTATCTATTCATTATTCTCAATTTCTTTATATCTTCATCAAAACCTTACACACATAAAAATATTAAATTTTCAGTTTCTTTTTCTTCTTTGTGATCCCTGGATGTAAACAACAGAAAGTTCTGGTCTTTTTGTCCAGTTCTGGACTTTAATCTTGTTCCAGAACTTGAGTTGTGCATGCACATCCATTTTACAGATATGCTTACTTGTATGCAGACTGTTGGTTTCTTGCCTCTCAGGCAGACATACTCCAACTTTGAAGAAAGAACCCCTAATTAGTCAGCTTTAACGATATGCTTATTGGGGAGGCAGTAGGTCTATTCTTTTTTCTCCAATATGGGGTCGAAGAAGAAAACACAATTATGTTATCCCCCCCCCCCCTCCCCAAGTCACTGTGCCAAAATGGATAAAAATATCAATTGAATATGTTAACCTTAAGTACAGATCAAAGAAAACTACTTCAGGATGCTACAAACCTACCCTAGCGTTTATTCAGTTTGTGTTTTTCAATAGTTTACCACTGCCTCATACATGTTAACACAAATGTAAAAAGCAATGCGTTATGGAATAAACAAAAATGTTTCAGTACAATACATCTCTGAGTGAAGGTTAATGTTAAGAGAATCAACTTAGCATTGCATACAATTTTATTCCATGTGGCTCAGTCTCACCTCGCAGAATGACTAGCCACATGTTGAGAGCAGCACATTAAGCACAAACTCTGTAGCTCTGGTGACAATCCCCAGGGATCTCCGTAAATATTGCACTCATGAAATTAACGACCCGGCAGTGAAACGAACCCATGACCTTCAGAGTGTGATGCTAACGGCTTGACCACTTTACCAGGAGACACTCCCTGAATATAAGAGGTTTTGAGACTAAAAAACAACATCTTCCCACTTTGTTTCCAATACAGTTAATCTTCACAATAACTACCCACTCTCACCTCAGAAAATTCAGCTGCTGCTGCATCCACCATTTCCTTCTCTGACCAAACCCTAGATCTTGGTCCGATCTGCCTTTTACAGATAGAATAAATACATGTACATTTATATATACATAACAGTACTGAAATAAATAAACAATCTGATCAAGATTATAAGTGAAAAAAAATAAAACTCAACCAAATCAAAACATTTTGCTGAAGTATATTAGATCACAACACCTTAAATATATACCATACTGAGAGTTGGACTCTCACTGCAGAAATGGAAAGGAATATTCAGGCTTTCAAACGTAAATACAACAGACTTCTTCTTCTTCTTCTTCACTTCCTCTTTTACCGCTGTGGGTGTCGAGGGAGATATAAGGTACAACAGACAAATTTTCCAAATTAGCTATTTAGAACACAAAGCTAACAAATTTGTAAGAGACAAAATAAACACATTTGCAAGACGTCAGGAGACTAATTTGGAAGTGGTGAAATGTCGCAAGTTTTTTTAAAGTTTTGGCACGTGGTGAGACATGATTTGATTGCAAAGATTATACTTCAAAGAACACTGCAGGGGGTAGTCGAAGAAAAAAAAGAGGGGGGGGGGCGAAATGTTGTGAAATGTTTACACTGAGAATTACAAGGTACAAATCATTGGACAATGGAAAACATCTGTATGCTGACGATGTGTATTATCAGGGTAAGGACAGAGCAGATTTCTAGAGAACTACAAACAGAACTCAACCACATAGGCACTTGGTGTGGTGAAGGTGGGGCATTGGTTAACCCAACGGAGGCAGCAGTGACATGGTTCTCTTTGGAAAATATTATTGTTAACACTCCAACACCAATTGTAAGTTTGTGCTCAGAGATTGCGGAAAGATCGCAGGCAATGAGATACCTGGGGAAATGATCTCATCATATGCTTGCTCATACTGAACATATAATGAGGTGTTGATAAAAGCCAAGCAAGACTCGGCTGCGATGACAATGATGGCGGCGGCAAACTGTGACCAGCATCATCTTTGTTTTCTATACCATGACCTGGTCCTTTCTGTTGAAGCCTTGCTATGTGAGAATTTTCTAGAGGGTGGTGCTCTTATTTACACAGACTGGGTATATCTTTTGGAAACTGAAAATCTTGTGGGCTTTCACAGATCATGCTGGATGAAGAATTGTCAAGCAGGATTCTGGTGCTTTTGCTTTGACTACAAGTAGTCTTACTACAGAGGTCATGGTAGCAACCAAAGCAGTAACATGGCTGGAGACAAAGACCTTCACCCAGGCATGTTTTCTCAGTGTCTCAATGAATATGCTAAGGAAGACGGAGACAGGTTGGGTCTGAAGACGGTGGTTGGTGCCTCTTAAGCACTCAAGGTTCACAAAGATCAGTTTTATTTCGTGTCATGACATGGTGGGGCAAACAAGGACTGGACAAGCCATGGGCCAGGCTGACATACTGAATGCTCTAAAAGAAGTAAGATGTTTGTGGGAACAAAATGAGGACTGTGAATCCACAACTGTGGTGAGACTTCAAGAACAACAAACTAAACATGGTGAGGCCCAACAAAAGTAATATGCAGGAAGCCAAAGAAGACAAATAAACCAATACAGAACTGGTCTCATCAGATGTGACACAATGAGATTTACTGAGGAGGGGAATACTAGCACATACAGACTAAATTTTTCAAAGTGCAGCGAAGATGGCTCTGTACCACTTGGTGATGAATTGATGTATCTTCTTCTTCTGCGTTCATCCTAAGATGTAATTGCGTTGTGTCCGTTTACAGCATGGCTGCGATATTTGCACCTTTCGGCCAACACATCCGACTTCTGCTGGCATTTGTTGACCGGGTTAGCCTTCCCTGTTGAATTGATGTATGATAAGTTAGATATTGGGAGGGCCCTTTAGGAACGAGTGAACAGTGCGAAGGTGCAGATAGATCCTCATGGTCTGAGGAGAATGGCGCTGTGAGGAGTTACCAGGGGATCTGGCCAACGCTCAATACTCAGGGGAAGGATGAGACGGATATACAATCAGTTGGTTACTGGTACCATCAGATGTGGAACACTTAGCTTGCTGCTGAAGATGGAGACTGAGCAATTATGGGAGTGTCCAGAGTGCTGTGATGTCGATTCTTAATTCAACATATTTTATTTTGAGGAGGATGATCTGTCGTTAACTAACTAACTTTGTAAGCTGACAGAATAATGTGGAAAATAATAGATAAATATCTTTTAACAAAGGCAAACCTGCACTCTACATCTCCAGCCACAATTGCTAACAAGTAACTTGGTATAGGAATTGCCATAGAGAACTTTGTGACTAGGTCAGAACTGTCAGCTACTGGTTCTGTGACATCTCTCACAGCACTCATTAGCACTGTGATCTCCCTTGGAGCTCGAACCTGCCAAAATAAATGAGTCATTTCAAGCTTGTGTAAATCCTGAATGTAACAAATAAATAAATAATTAAATAATAACTGAATAAATTTTATAAATGCATTCTGAAACTGTATCCCCTCAACAGCGGTTGCCGTCCATGTTTTCTTTTCTTACATATTTCCTTACTTAATGTTCCAAGTTTACCTTGTCACTTGTTTCTTCTTCTTCATCATCGTTTTTTCAAGTGACATAAATACGCTGTGCTTGTTTACAGCATTGCTGTGATACATGCACACCTTTTGGCCAACACATCCAACCCCTTCGGCCATCAGTCTGTTATCCAGATTAGCCTTCCTGGTTAGTTTCGTGGGGCATTTAGATATCTGGAGTTCCAAACCCCATCAAGGCAGATTTTTTAAAAACGAATAATCTTAGCTCCTAGGTTGACCCAGTCTTAAATAGCTATCTGGCAAAGTCCTGGATATTTAAATCAGCCGGCATGATGATGATGACGATGATGTCTCACATCACATGCCAATAGGCCTCTAAAAATATTAGTTGAACATCATAGGCCCGATGCTGGCAAAAGAAGGGTCCTTTACTTTTACCTTCTTATTAAGTAAATTGCTTTTTGAGTTACAAAACATAAAAACAACAAAACTACCTGTGCAGTGTAGGAAAACTTGACAGCAGGCGTGTCTTGACATGGCAGCAAACTTCTTGCGTGAATTGCCTAAATTGATGAGAAGTTGAGATTCAAATTAGGGGGAACAGTTATCACATGACTGTCGCGATCCTTGCCTATGTAGGGGTGGAGAATGAGTGAGCATTAGACTGCCAGCTAAACATGAAATATCAGATTATCATAGTGTATATACAAACTGGGAGCCGCCATGGTGCAGCGGCTAGACGCTCTCCTGGAGATCGGAAAGTCGAGGGTTCCGGACTTGACAAAGCCGGCCTTTTTTTTCTTCTCAAAAAACAATCTTGGCAGCTAGGTCGACCCAGCCTTTTAAGTGGGTAGCAGGTAAAGTCCTGGGAAATAAAGGCAGGAATGATGCTGACTATATCATCCACCAAGTTCCAATTGGTCTATAAAATATAGGTCTAGTCCTATATGCCCAATACATATGAAAGTGTTAAAAAGTGTCCACTACCTTTTTCTTTCCACATAAAATGCAGATGTCTGGTGAACTAGATGAGCCCCACCTTATAAGCAGGTTGAAGGAGGTCACTGACCAAGCATCCAAGTGGACGGTTTGGATATCCACAATGTTGTGATACCACATCAGGATAGAATAGAAGCAGCAGTTATAGTAGTAGTAACAGTGCAGCTGGTTGTGGTAGTGAAATGCATAAATCAACTGTGATGATTCAAAGACAACTAGGTGGTTGCACAAAAACAATGTTGCTGTTTGTTATTTCTAGCAACTTAATTAAGTAATGTACTCAGATAGTGTTTTCCTCGACGTCGAGTAGTTAAGAGAATAAAAAAAGTCCCAGTAATGCAATATGCATTAGCATAACTAAGTAGTCCAGATTATTATGCCTACATCATTACAAGAAGTGAACAGAAAGTTCAGGAAAAGGGAGAAAATCTAATCAGCTGCTAGATTTAATAATGCAATATTTTATTTAATAATTTAATAATGATAGAATAAGAATGTATGCTAAGATGACCATGTACACATGCTGCCTGACTGTGTCACCATCCTCTCACACCCTGACAATGTGACTACAAACAAAGCACATCTTCACTATCTTCTATCCTTCTTCCTGTTATTAAATATACTGTTAAAGTTAAAAAAAAAAAAAAGATTTACAATGTTACTTTCCTATTTAAAAAAAAAATGCATAGCTACTGAAAGGAACATAATATTGGCATAACTTTGACATTCAAAATCTCTGTAATTTAATGAGGTGAAACTGTTCAAATTGCAAATAAGAATACCTTATCATGCTGTTGCATCTAGGTCACTGACAGATTTTAGGCATGCAGGCTTTCTCATCAACAAATAAAAATGTGCCATCAGATAACTATGCTTTTCCTTGTTTTGGGCGGCGGGGAGGGGGGGGGGGGTGTTAAAACAGGAAGGCACCATAAAAAAAAAAATTATTTTTTTAACTGTAATAAAAACTTGAATCCAGGTAGGTCTAACCTATAATGGGTATCGGAAAAGTTGTAGCAGGCAAAAGCTGCCAGCATGATACAGATCACATCACTCGCCAAATGCTGATTCTTCTTGTTCAGCCTTCCGAGCCCTTATAGCTCACCGCATTCACAATGAATGAGGCAATAGAACAGAAAATAACCACATGTGAAAAGCGCTGTCTCCAAAAGGTCACTAACAACACAAGAAGAGACACCCATGTCTGGATTATACTGAACAAAGAATGAAATGGTTCAGTCATCTAGTGAGAATGCGGACAGACCAAACTGCATATAAGATATTTTACAGCAGAACATCTGGGAGAAAGGCGAGAGGAAGACCTAAAAAAAACAAAATAAGATTAACAAATCCATCACCCAAGCCACCCAAGAAGCACAAGACAAATACAGAAAACCCCGACACTGGGCTGCGACCTGGTATCAGTGAGATGTCAAAAAAGAAAAAAGAAGAAGATTGGCCTTCACTTTCCAGGATCTGCAAGTCTGCCTCTATTTTACCTCTCCCCGGTCTTCTCGGTCTGTCTTGAGGTCTATTCCCACTTAACTCTTTTATGTGCACAGTCTGTGTCTCTCTGGTATCTGCCACTCTTTCTATATGCCCAACTACTGCAGTCTATAAGCACTCACGATGCTAGTAAATTGTCGTCATTAAAAAAAAAGTTACAAATTTAATTGTTGCTTCTCACTCTACTTTTTTTTTTTTTTTTTATCTTTGATGGGTCAAAGATTTGTCATAAGTCTGTAAATAAGGCTTTGGCTCTTTTGATTGTATTCCTGGTTTTAGACAATTGGTCTTATCTGGATTTATGTGCAAAACAGAGCATTTGATTTTAGTAAATGTTATAGGATATAGAGTATGTATTTCTAGATTGTGTTCTTCTTTTAGTACACTGGAGGTGTTGAAGTTTGCAGGAAAGTAATTGTTTCCATTCTTTAAATTTTCCTACTATCTATTTGTATGTGGCTGGAGTTTGTATCCTTTACCTCTCTTGTTATTAACATGTGCTCTGTCTTATCTCAGTTGATAACTAGTTCCATTTTTTGGCTATCCTCTGAAAAACGGGCACATATTATGGCGGCCAAAAACAGTGCCTCAGTCACATGCAAACTGCGAACTTAATTTGCGCGAACTACCGCCACCGCCGAGAGTATCCCTCACGCTGCTAATGCAGCGTGGATTGGGGCTAAACTAGATTCCTGGGACTCACGAGCGAAGCTGCAGGAGATGCGGAAGCTGCTGCTCATGAATCCCAGCCTTCTAGTTTAGCCCCAATCAACACCACATTAGCGGCGTGGGGGATACTCGCGGCGGTGGCGGTAGTCACCGGTAGTCCGCGCAAATTAAGTTGCTGGAAGTGCGCAATTGACATGTGACTGAGGCTCTGTTAGGGTGTTTTTGCAACCGCCATAATATGTGCCCGTTATTCGGAGGATAGCCCATTTTTCTTTCTGATCTCTAATGATAACTAGTTCCTTTTTTTCTGTCTGATCTCGATTGATAACTATTGCCAATTTTTCTGCCTGATCTCGATTGATAGCTATTGCCAATTTTTCTGCATGATCTCGATTGATAACTATTGCCCATTTTAGTGTCTGATCTCGACTGAATACTCACTCTGGATAATCTGTATAAACCAGTGAACCATGTGACTAAATTATGTATTTTCTTGCTTGAACACCCCTCTCCTCCCCCCTTCCCCTTACCCATATGAAAATGGAAGAAAGTTGGAGTAATGGAAGTTGTAAATATGGCAGAAGATATCACTAGCAGTGAGGAAAAAAGTGTTAAAGTGTTTTGTATCACCTGTGTTGTTTTATGCATGCAAAACATGGACAATAGGCAGACAAGCTGAAAAACATTTACTCGTGGCAGAGATTTGATTTGTGAGAAGAATGCAAAGAATATCATGGAAGGTTAGAAAAACAAATGAAGCAGTCCTCGACAGATGAAAGTTGTAAACTTATTAGAACAATAAGACGTAGACAGTCAATATTTGTTGGACATGTTAATAGAAGAAATGGACTCAAGATCTTGGTAACAACTGGCAAGATTGATGGAAGGAGAGTAAGTGGCAAAGACATAAATACCTAAAAGGTCTGGCCAGATGAATAGGGCAAGACAAAAACATTATACTTAACTGTGATTCTGGTGATCGTGTGAGATGGCAAAACATGACAGTCTATGCTTACCTGCATGGCACATGATCATGATGATGAATCAGGGCAAGACAGCATCTTTTTAAGCGACTTTCAACACTGTCTGTGGAACTAGGTAGAGTGATGTGCGCCTCCGTTGCATTGTAAAGAATATTTGTGAATATTCTGTACATTAACAGGCAGGGATGACATAACTGGGTACAATCAATGGCCAAGATCTTATTCACTAGTTGAGGTATTTTTTTTATTTAATAAGGGGATTTATAAACTAAATGCATGCAGTCTGTAGAAGCTGGTTTCTGTTCCAGAAAGATATGTAGGTGTTTAGTAGGGGTACTGCTCTGTGTAATCCCAGGCGTAGCAAATTTGCATAGAGAAAACTCACACTGTACAAAGATTATGCAAAGATGAACATTTCTCACCTGACACTGACTAAAAAGATATGGTTGACGTTTGCCAGCTGTCTGCTCGGGTCGCAGCCATTGAAGAGCTGAGGATTTCGGCGAGGTTGCATACTTGATGATGATGGTGAAACTAAAATGCAATCATAAATTTAAATTAATAATACAATAGTTATACTTTTTATTATTTTTTCAGAAACATACCAGGAAAAGAAATAAGTAAGTCACAAATAATTGTTAAAAAAAATAATGATGATAAATTAAAAACTATTAATATTTTTCCCATATAAAGTCCTTTTATTTGCCAACATAATTTCCACCAACACTGATGCACCTGTCCCACTGTTGTATCAGTCCTCCCTAACCTGCGTTATAGAACTGTGTGCTCTGTTTTTCAACTTTTGCGACATTCGTGAAATGTCTCCCGCCAAAGTGGGCTTTCAGGGCACCAAAAAGGCAGAAATCACTAGGGGCTAAGTCAGGGCTGTAAGGTGAATGTTCCAGAAGTTCCCACCCTAGATAGTTAATTTTCTCCTGAGTTAACTGAGCCACATGCGGTCTGGCATTGTCATGAAGAAGCAGTGCTCCTCTAGTCAGTAGGCCTGGAGGTTTTCTTCGAACTGCATAATGATATTTTTTGTTAACCCAGCTATGCACCGCTTTACGGGATAAACATTTGTTAGCATAAACAGGAAGCACTTCCTTATGAATGAAGAAAAAAAAAACACACAACAGCATCTTGTTCTTTGAGGGTGCACTCTGTAAGTACAGTTGCCATTTTGTTTCTGTGTTGCAAATGTGCATGCAACACCTAGCGCCACCCAACGAAGGGAGACATAAAGTTCGATGTTGCTGTCACCTAATGACAGATTTAGAAACCACATTTTTCTGCCATCCCATAACCATTTGTGACTAACTTATTGACTTCCCCTCCTATTTTAGAGCCTGTAGTATACTGACAGTTATGAATTTATAGCAAACAAAAAACTGTTCTGGGTATTAACATCTAAAGGAAAACAATATTTCAGGTTTTAATAGTATGTATTATTACAAAACAATCTGGAAAATATATCAGACAATCAAGAAAAGGAACATGCAGGAAGATTGACTTGTAAAGGATCATCTTTCCTTCCACATGGACAGCTCCATATGTGTTCCAGGCCCTCCTATTATTACACAAGGAAGTTCTCAAAACAGCACAAACTATGTTTTATCAGGTGAGGATTAAAATTTGTGTTTATACCAAATAATATAAAATCCACACATAATAAACACTCTTTCTGTTAGTGGATTTGTAAATGTTTCATTTTTTGAGCCAGTATTTTTTTTTTTTATATTTTAATCCACTAAGAGCATATTTAACTTGCACTTTTATACAAAATGATTATTAATTCACCCTACTAAATCAGGGTCAGGTGGGAGGATAACACCTCCAGGTTCCCTTTTTTACAATAATCCAAAGATTAATTTGTACAAAATCTTCTCAAGTTATAGGTGGACTCATATTTATTAGCCATTCCACCATCAGAGATACTGAATAGGAAAACTGGAATAAACATAATATCCATTTTTCTACAAAATCAAGTAAGCACTGTTAAATTTGTCTGGTGCTCATTTATAACTGGCACCTGAGGTCTACGTACCATGAAATGAAAACCATGAAAACTGGCAGCTGTCAAGCTGCAAGAATTTTTTGGGAAGAGGGAAGCTTCTTCAAAGAGATCTGGGGAGCTACAGGCCAGGAGAAGATACCTGGTCGAGTACAGCCACTTTTGCTTTTGATGTTTATGAATGGTTCCAAAGCAAACAGGAAATGATGGTGGTGGCGCTTGATCTCGAGGATGCATATAAAAGAGTTAGATATGATATTTTGATGACCATGTGATGGAGAAGAGGGTCAGTCCCTGTTTGGTGAATTGGATAGAAGCTGTCCTATATTCTCATCGGGTTGCTCTCCGTCTGGAATCATGAACTTCAGAGCCACATATCATAGCCCCTGGACTGCCACAGAGATCTGCCATCTTACCGGTGCTCTTTAAGGTGTATACAAGTAGGACTGCAAGCTTAGAAACCCCAGAGGTTGGAAGGATACTGACCTGACATTTGCAGATGATATTTTTGCTTACAGGCAGGGGAGAAAGGGGGAACAAACAGCTCAGGAGCTACAGGTGACAGCAGACAAAGTGACTGACTGGTGTACAGAAATTAGTGCTGTCATTCACACAGAAAACAAAACAGATGTTTTGTGGTGTCTTCTATACAATGGGATTGTTAGAACTGCTGTCCCAAGTCTCACGACAGATGGTGGAAACGTCAACAGAGAGTATCCGGGAATCACATTTGACAGGAGCCTGTCCTTCAAGGACCATGTGGAGACTTTTGTGACAAGATGCCAAAAGGAACTCGGTGACCTCAAGACTATGGCCTGAATGGAGCAGAGAATGCTTTTTACATTGTATCAGCATTTGGTTCTCTCAGTGACTGATTATAAAATGGGATTGCTCACTGTCTTAAACAGTCAACTGATTAAACCTAGAGCGCATACAGAATAATGTTCGCTTTAATGATGTGATTATTTATACAGATGGTTCTAGAGCCCACATGTGGACCTCTCAAATATTAAAAACACTTACAGACATTTCTACTTTCTTATTTCTCATCTTACCTTTTCTCTACAAATGAGCCAATGGTTATGGTGAGCTTTGACCCAAAGGTGAAGTTGCGTGGATTTGAAATTTCAAACTGACAAGCTTTGCCTGTATCCTTCATACAAACACTTTCAACTGTCAGGTCTCTGACATCCAGTACCTTTAATGACCAAAACAGACAATAAATTGTAGGCTGTGAAATATATAGTGCAGCAGCCAGTTCCCTTTGCTATAACCTACCCTTCTCAGATAAATCACAGAAAATTCTCAAATTTGTCCAGTGGTCATTTTTAAGAGGTTGCACTGGCACCCTGCATATGAGATTGTTTACAGCAAAACATCTGTGAGGAGTTCAACTGAGTCAAGAATTGACATCACAGCACTCAAGAGGAAGACAAAGAAAGAGATGGATAAACGCCAAAACCTGCAAAAAAGATGAACAAAACCATCACCCAAGCCCCCTGAGAAGGGCAAGACAAGTACAGAAGACCATGACACTGGGCTACAACCTGGTATCAGTGAGATGATAAAAGAAAAAGAAGCACTGGCTCCAGAGGACAACGGTACCATTCAAATCCTTTCTATAAAGCCACAGACTGAATATGAGAATAATGGATGTGATGGTGAGCTTGCTGAACCCTCAGAGGAGCAAAAGCCCTCGACCAACTCACGCCAAGTCATCCAGTACTTTGCTTTTGCAAGCAGCTCATCCCATGCCCTCACTATCTTTTTAACTTCACTGTCTATCTTGATATCTGTAATAGTACTGAAGCCATATCTCTTCCCACTAAATGGAGTTAAAAGGACACTACTTCTCACATACGCATGCACTCACACACAAACTTGTATGCTTGTATATTTTGTGTGTGAATGCTGGCACACTAATGTGCGCGCTCACACACACACACAGACACACGGACACGGACACACACACAGACACTCACACACAGACACACACACACGGACACACACACACGGACACACACACACACACACACACACATAAACAAATTACTACAGTACAGAAACTCAGTTCAAGGACTGAGAATGAAATGACAGAATTTATCCAACAATACTTAATTATAAATATTTTAGTTAATTTTCCAAATTAATTTTTACTTTAAAAAAAAAAACAGCACATAATAGACATGTAACTTTTTTCATGTTCTTATGTCAATAAAAAAGAATAAGACCAAGGTGCCAATGTTTTGTATTAATTTCTAAAAAAAAAAAAACATATAAAGAATAATTGGTTCTCCTCCGAACTTCTACCCGATTTATGGCGGCCATGCAAATAGCCTAACAGGGCCTCAGTCGTGTGTAAAATGCGGACTTTCTGCAAAGTAAACAATCGCGGCAAAACTAGGATCAGCTCTGAATAACGAAACAAATGCTCTAACAGGGTCTCAGCGATATGTTAATTGTGAACCTGTTTCTGCGACTATGCCGCACGGCCGACAGTATCTTCCCCGCCGCGGATGGTGGCTAAACCAGATGGCTGGGACTCACAAGCAGCAGCTACCACATCTCCTGCAATTTCTTCTAATTTATTTGCTCGTGAGTCCCAGGCATCTAGTTTAGATCCCCATCCACGTAGCGGCGCAGGGGATACTGTCAACAGTTTAGTTTAACAACGTTTTGCGCATGCTGAAAAGTGTGAGGACAACAACGACACTAATCTGCGTCGGAGCGGGTGGTTTCCCCGTCATGTGGCTATTATTGTTTGTAATGTTGCGTGTCTCAAAATTGTCAATGGTCGCTATTATCGTCTGCTAGTATCATCTGCAGAAACGCTTGAAATTGTCAACGGTCGCTATTATTGTCTGGTACTATCGTCTGCAGTGTTGCGTCTCTTGAAATTGTCAAGTAATACTAGTTTTGCGCGATTTGTTCCTTGGCAGACAGTTCACACATGACTGTTAGGCTATTTGCTTGGCCGCCATAATATCGGGTAGAAGTTCGGAGGAGAGCTGAATAATTAGTGTACAGGAAAAAGAGGACTCAACAATTAAACGTGTCGTGCCAAGAATGTGTTTGAATAGTCTTTAAGACTGTAATAACTCATTTTTTAAAGTTTCAAAACCCACACACAAAAAATACCTGAGTCATCCTCACACTCACTGAGGTGTGTTTAATTATAACATTAATTTCATCCAGTAGATTTTCTTCAGGGTGGGAGGCGCGCTTTTGAAACGTTTACGAAATTATATAGCAACATAAGAACTCTAGTTAACTTACTAGCGGCAGTTATAAATTAACTTATTATTTATAAACTACGATTGTCTAAAGACAACTTTACTAACCAAACTGTGCACGTCCTCAATTTTCTTGTCCACAGTCAGATGAGCGTAACCGCTAATTGTCTGTGTGATGAAGTCTACTGATACATCCCAAAATAGCGAGCTAATCGTAACTTTATCAGTTTCAGCGTACGTACTCGGATCGTCGTTACCCATTGTTTAATAAATGTAGATAAAGTAGTATAAAGGCTGCGTTATAGCTAACAAAATTTCCTTCCCTGTTCCTTTGAATAGACGGGAGAATACCTTTTTTAAACTTTTAAAGTAGACGATGAGGTAACTTCCGGTGCAAATAAAACTTTGATAAGGTTGCCATGACGCCAAATAATACAGTTGTGCGCTTGGTGAAGGGCGGCTGGCTGAACGGTTAGAGACCCGGGTTCGAATCCACGGCAAGGCTGGGGATTTTTTCATGTCGGAAGCAAATAAAACCACACCTGCTCAGTCATGGCGACAGCACTAGCCATGCAGCCGTAAATCCTCAGGCTCAAAGACACGACACCCCCCCCCCCCTCCGCCCCTGACTATACAGCAAAATTGTTATAAATAAAGAAAGGCAATAATTGGCAGTAGCCTACACTTGGTAATCATGTACTACTAGAGTGACCTTCTTCTTTTTCTTCTTCTTGGAGGTGTTTCTTGTCTGTAGCTACTCCAAGATATGACTTTGTTTGCAGCACTTTGAACCTATCTGAAATAGTCAGCATTTGCAAGCATAGATCGCATACATACTACCAGGGTTCTCTTGGACTCGTACGTCTTATAATTACCATCATGGCCTCATCATTGTGTAGGTGTTAAAATTTCATAAGCTGACTCTTTGTTGGAGCATTCAAAGTCTAAAATCTAACACCGAAAGGATCACATCCTCTCTGGCATTTTTCCACAACTGCCTTCACGTGATCCCTTGAGGATGGGTTATTATAAAAAATTATACCTAGGCAACTCAAGTTTGTCATTAATTGTGAGACTTGGAACATCAGCAACACCGCTAAGACCGGTCCCAAGCCCGGCTGTAAAAGGAGAAGGGTCTTGCTGAACCGGAATGCTTCATGCGTCTCTAGAAGTAATGTGTAACCATGAATCTCAACGAGGCGGAATGCATGGTTATTTATTCCACATTATATATCCCAAGACACTCTAAACAGAGACCAAAAAGCCCCTGAATGCGCTGCAGTTGAAGGCTCTGTAGTTGGACTAAACGTAAAAGTAAGCAAAAAGGACTAGAGAAGAGAGACATTTAGGCGTACTGTAAAGAGAGCATCATCGTCATGTGCCCTGCTAACTGGCGTAGGCACTCATGTGTCACCACAGATCACGATCCCTGGTTGCCTGGAACAACTCTTTTGATGATATCCCTCCATGACATGGTTTCAGCCCATTCAGCATCGTCTCTCTTGGTCTGCCTCAACCCCTTTTTCCACTTATTTTTCCAGTTGTCACGATGCTCCCCAATGTCTCTCTTCTAATGATGTGGCCAAAGAACAGTGTTTGTCTCTTTCTTGTTGTAAATAGAGATGTACTTTCATTAGCTTCTTTTAGCAATCGCTGTTGGTTACGCAAGAGAGCGACGTTTAGAATATTGACACATGCACAGAGATAGTTAAAAAATCATTTCACACGTACAGCAATGCTTGAAGATTATTCTGATAGCCTATACTATATTTTGGCCACATCAAACGTCATGGTTTCTTGGAAAGGACGGCGATGATGGAGGGTCCAGTTTGTAGAAAGCGAGGCAGGGGTTGACCTCCGCGAAGATGGATACAGGACACTGAAGATGCATTTGCATTGAAAGCACATGGGGCTGGAGAGCTGGCTAGGGAGAGGGATACTTTCAAGTGTGCCGAGAGGAGAATGACGTTATGTAAAGGACAAGCTAATTGAGGATGATTCTTTATAGAATGAAAAATTATGTTCATCTAACAACTCACAGGAGGCAACTGCTGAGGATGAATACTCGAGAGTGAAACAAGTGCAATTTTATGTTTTATAAAGTTCCCCCTACGCAATTTACTCAAGTTACTGTAAGCATGCTGATTGTTTGCCTTGAATCTGTGTCTGGTTTTTTTTTTCTTCTTTACATACCACAAAAATGACGAAATCAAATACAACTGAATTAATTCTTAAAAAAAAAAAAAAAAATTCTTATAGGTGCATGCCAAATTCCAGCAATGTATACCTAGCGTTCCTGAACAGACAATAGCAATATGCCAAAAGTATCTTGGAGGGAGACAATCCTAAACACGCTGAGTCTCGGGTGATCTTTTCATGGTTTTGGAAGTGGGATTAGCTAGATGTGTGCTCACTCCTGGGGTACTGTCGCCGTTCTCTCTCTCCATTTCCTAGCCGTCTTCTCTTCGCCCTACATCCATTGCCAGTTGAAGATGGTATCCAGCAAGGCTGCATACAATTTCTGAGTCGACCACTACTAATCCCCAGTTAAGTAAGAGATAATTTGGTTTTAGGAAGGGAAAGAACTGTACAGTTGCAATATCTTCTTTAGGGCAGATAATCAAACAGTCTACTGAATATGATAAAAGTCAACATCTTCAATTTATAGATCAAGAAAAGGCTTTTGATCAAGTTTATAGATTCAGACTGTGAAAAATGTTACAGTGTTATGGTAATAAGATCAAATGTTGGTTAACATCCCGGCTCTTTATCAAGATAGAACAACGGAGGGAATGAAAAACTGGTTTCCCATCTCATCAGGTGTCATACATGGATGTGTCCTCCCACCATGGCTACACGTTACTTACATGGATAGAATAATAGAGGAGGCAAATACAGACACTGAAGAAATCAATGAACTTTTTTTTTGGAGACGATAAGTGTCTAATACACCGCTTAGAACATGATTTAGAACATATTGACTCCTTACATCAAACCTACACAAAGTATGATATGATAGTATTAATAAACACCGCGAAAGATGAGATAATGAGGGTAGGCAGGAATCATAATACCATGAACGTTTATGTTACGGGTGCTACAATCAGACAAGAAAGTAAGAGAATTCAAATATCTAGAAAGCATATTTATATAGGATGGAAGACTCAACAGAGAAATAGAAACCAGAGTACAGAAGGCAAAGGCTTTCACCTACCAGTTAGCCCCACTACTTAAATACCCAGACGTCTCCCTTCCAGCAAAACATCACGTGATCAATAGCATCTTTATCCCTACTTTACGTTATTAGTTCCAAACATGGACAATGAATAGGGCACTTATCATCATCATGTAGCAGGTCCTTTGCAGAACGTCGCTCTCATCACGGTCTGCCTGAAAGAAACTCGGTCTCTCCCGCCTCATGTACTTTCATACTCAAGGAGTCATTTATATCCTGTGTCCATCTTCATGTCGGTCGGCCCCTGCCCCTCCTTCCTGGTACCATGGCTTCTGCTATAATTTTTTCCGATCCATCGTGGCGCTTGATATGACCAAAATATTTCAGCTTCCGAGACAGGTTTCTGTTTATTAGCCAATCTTCCTTGATGTCCAGATCTTTCAAGATGTCAGTATTTTTCCTTTTCGTTTTCCAAGATATTATGAAACTCTTTCTATAGCTAGATTTTCAAAGTTTGTGACATTTTCAATTTCTTCTTGATTTATTGTCATTTTTGATCCACGGAAGATTTTATCTGTGAACATTATTTTCGTTTTCTTCAAGAACAGATTTTTATCTTCACTGTGCTTTTGGACAATCAATATTAAATTGCATATTCCCTTTACGCTGTTCGAAAGGAGGTCTGTGTCATCTGCGTAGCTAATTCCGGAATACGGTGTCCGCCAAATTTGAGCGGATCATAACTGTCACAAGTCTGGTCATTTTTGACACTTCTCATTATATTTTTTTAGGGTATATATATATTGAATAGGTAAGGTGACAGAATTCACCCCTGCCTTACTCCCTTTTGTACCTCGAACTAATCTGATGTTTCACCAGCTGCTCTGATGGCTGCTTGTTCATGATAACGATTTTCAATTAAATGCACCAAATGCGCTGGAAACCCCATAGTTATCATAATAGTCCACAGTTTGTGGTGTTGGACACAATCAAATGCCTTGCTATAATCAATAAAACAAGCATGAAGATCTACGTTGTATTCTCTACATTTTTCAAAAAATTATTCTCATATTCAAGATGTGATCCCTAGTTCCTCTACCCTGTCTGAAACCCGCTTGTGCTTCACGAAGCTCATATTGTAATTGCCTTTCAGTCCTCTTCATGATAATTCGTAGGGCACCAGAACAGAAAATAACTACATGGGAAATGCGCTGTCTCCGCAAAGTCACGAACATCACAAGAAGACACGAATACCAGCACCAGAGACAAAGTCGAAATAAGACTATGTCTGGACTATGTTGACAGACAAAGAATGAAATGGTTCGGCCATCTAGTGAGAATGCAACCAGACCAAACTGCATATGAGACATTTTGCAGCAGAACATCTGGGAAGAAGGCGAGAGGAAGACCAAGAAAGAGATGGATAAATGGTGTAGCAAAAACTTGCAAAAAGGTGAATTAACTAATCACTCAAGCCACACGAGAAGCGCAAAACAAATACAGAAAACAACGACACTGGGCTACAACCTTGTATCAGAGAGAAAGAAGAAGAAGGAGGAAGAAGAAGAGAAGAGAAGAAGCGCCATTTCTCTAAATTTATGTTCCTATCTTTGTAGCTAGGCCTTCCTGTCTGTGTCCAAATGTGTTCTACTTATCCTTATTTTCTGGATGCTATCTTCGTGGGTCATCCTCCGTCTGGTTCACTCTCCTTATTATTTTGCCCTTGTGTGCTCTATTGTCATAACATCTGGCCCATAAACCTCAATAAGTTGCCGACGAATTTCTGTTTGCAAACAAAAACCGGCTCACTGCACGATCCTCACAGCTTGCGGGAGTAATAATTTTTTCACTCACATGTGGCATCAAACAAGATTTCGACAGTGGAAAAAAATAGCACACCGCTATCTAATGAACAACATAAACATACTGCATAAGCACATTTGCGTTTTCAATTGTTGTTTGTCGGTGGGGGTCAAATCGGGACTTTACTTTAAAACTCCCCTTGTAGAAAAACTAACCTTGGACTATAAACTGTAGGACTATAATTGTATACAACTTTCCGCACACGGGGCCAAATTTGTTTTGCGTTTCCTGTAGAAGACGCACTTGAAAATGGCAACTCAGGTAGCGTTACAGATTGTTGCCTCACTGTTCTTTATGACAGGTAAGTCTCATAATTAATGACACAGTAATTCATACTGTTATTGATGGTTATATTTAATGTAATGTTGATTTGTTAATTTAATGTCAACAGATTAGAATACTTAAGGAGTGTTGATTAGGGGAACATTTTCATTTTGTTTTCCTCAGTTACTTCACTTCCGCATTATACTTTTGTTACTAAGAGAGTACTAAGACTAAGAGACGGATAAAAAAAAAAGGAAAAGAAATAACGATGACATGCACCCAGAAGTAATATAATAAGGCAATGTGGCACAAATAATGTGTATTATCGCCACCGCTGTTTATCACAGTTTAGAACAGCTACCCATTTTGATACGTGCGGCAAGTCCCAATCGTGCAAAATCTCATTCAAAGAATACTTCTTCTTCTCCTTCTTCGCGTTCATCAGCTGTAAACTCTGGCGGAAGGTTCTGGTTGCTCGTCCACTACTGAACTGGAGTCCTGCTCCAGAACCTGAGTGTTGCGTGTGCATCAGTTTTACAGATCTCATTCTCTTGAATACAGACTGTTGGTTCCTTGCCTCTCCGGCAGATGCACTCCGACTTCAAAGGAAGCTCCCCAATTAGTCGACTCTTACGACATGCTTTTGGGGAGGCAGTGGGTCTATTCTTGTTTTCCCCACAATGGTGCCCCGGAACACACATGACTGACTGGCATACTCATTTTCACCCTATGAGTATGCTATCAGTGTCAGACATGGCGACTCACAGCAAACTAGACAAGGAAGTTAGTAACCACAGAAATGAAATGTCTGAGAATCACTGCAAGAGTGACCAGAAGAGATATAGATATAAATTAAGAATGAGGTAAGTCAGTCCAGATCCAATTCTAAAAATTACAATTGTAACAATTACCTACAAAGTTAGTCAGCACATCACATGGCAAATTTGCCCACTTGGAGAGAATGTTTTGCGATGCCATACCACAAAAAGTTAGTTGCATATTCTTTACAGGAAATTGCAGAACCAACCACAGCATTTTTTTCGGCTGTTGTGGTTTTTCTAGACAAATTTTACATTCAGTAGTTTGATACCACACAAGCATACACCAAAAGAGCAGAAAGGGAGTAGATCAAGAGGTAGACCATGAACAAAATAGAAAGATAACATCAATGGAACTCTACAACAGAACAATGTGACTATGGTCATGGTGGCCATAAGAGCGAAAAGCAGAAACTTATGTTTGCCTTTGCTGTAGTTGTAATAGTGGAGTGGGCACCCCTCCGATTAATGGTCCCAAATTCATAATCTGTTTAAATCACCATTGATCACTTGAATCGTGAGAACTAATAGACTCAAATGGCTGGGGCATATTGAGGGAATGTCAGATGACAGAGAGGCAAAAACTGTATACACGAGAGAGCTAAGTTAAATATCTAAAGCAGTGAACCTCAAGGGCTGAAAAAGAAGAAGAAAAGTAATCACCAGTAGTAGAATATATCTCTTACCAACAATGTCATAAATGGATGTTAAATTTCCATTGAAAATAAATTCAACAAAAAATAATGGGAAAATAAAAATACTAAGACAATTGATAAAAATGCACACTTACATTTGGCAACACCCTCATAGGTCACATTCTATCTGTTAGACTCTATCTTGGTGTTAAAGAATGTGTAACCAATTCCCCTTTTGCTTTTTTATGCTTCCATGATATATTTTCAGGGCTCATTTCTTAATTGAAAATAAACCTTTATCATTGTGTTGGCACTGTCTGCTACTGTAGTTATTCTTAACAGTCTGCTAGGTGTGTATCATGATATTGTGTGTGTTTGTATATGGTTCAGGTGTAAGTGGTTGGAGATGTGCTAAATATGAAAACTACTTCAGCCAGCAGCCTGACTACATTGACTGTCTTTGGGATTGCTGTGGTAATTCTTTCAACAGACATTGCTGTGCTCCGTAAGTTGACAAATTTTACTGTAATTGTTACACACTTTTGTTTATCTGTGACCATATTTAATGCGTGATTTTTTAAATGTGGTGTTTATTTGAAAACACAGAACCACTGTTGGGCACATACATATCTGTATTTAAAAAAAAATTGCATTCCAACAAGAGGAGTGGCTGGCTGAATGGTTAGAACACTGGGCTTTTAAGCGGGAGACTCAGGTTCGAATCCTCGGTAAGGCAAGTGATTTTTTCTGTTGGGGGCAGAATAAAATCCTCACCTGCACAGTCGTGGCGACAGCACTAGCCATGCGGCCGTAAATCCTCAGGCTCAAAGACCTCCTGCCTACACCGCATAATTGGTAAATCAGAGGCAGTAATTAGCAGTTGGCAGTCCAACAAATATTAATCCAGAGTTGTAAAATGGTCGACTTTTGTATAAACTAGGTCATAGCAGTGTTCTCAGATAATTTGAGTTAAGAACCAGCGTTACAGCACTTGGGACATTCATGTAAGTGCTCTGTCTTCAGCAGTTCCAGTGGTACCAGGCAAGAGTCTTATTGTATATTTGTCTTGCTTTTCCTCTGAGTAGGAGCATCATCAAATGCTTTGCCAGCTGGTCTGAACAATTATGCTTTTGGTGTATCTCATGATCTTCAGTAGCACCTGCCAGTTCATGTACTGATACATTTCCAAACCATGACAAAACACTGTTCAGAATTGTATTTCAATGTTTCCCAAATTTTCCTTTCCATAAATCTTTTCAGATATCACAAGTTGTTATAATATGACCAAGAATGATAGTGGCCTCTCCCTAACATTTATGGTATGCTATATTTATTCATCAACATTTGTGGCTTAGGCCTTGCGAAAACGCTTCATAATGCCGGGGTGCTGGGTTCCATCCCAGCTGCAGGCCTTTCACCTTGTGTTGGTTTCGACAGTGATATCAAGAGCGGAGCTTCCAGAAAGCAGTGGTAAACTACTGGATGCAAATTTTCTTAGAATAACCGTAACAGCCAAAAAATAGCTGGTGTTGGTCCTGCAGTATCCTGTAAAGGATACACAACTAACTTTAAAAAAAATCATTTTTCTGTAGTATCTTCATTTTGGACATAGAATATTGATTTACAATTTTTGACTAACGGAAATAATAAACTTCTTTGTTAAACAAAACAGGATTGGCATAATTGTTGGATGCTGTATTGTTGGAGCTATTGTAGTGGCTACCCTAACTGTGTTGTTAATATGCTGGTGGCAGAGAAGGCGAGCTAAGCAGTCACAAGGTCCAAGACTCTTCCATAGTCAACGTCATTCCCACTATCCTGTGGCACCATCGTCTGTGACAAGACCTGGTAAGTTGTTGTCAGTGAGTGAATCTTTCTGCTTGGGTTCTGTAGCCCCATTTTGGAGGAAAAAAGAATAGACCTCGCCCTCCCCAAACAAGCATGTTGTAAAAGTTGACTAATTAGGAGTGTTCCCTTCAAAGTCGGAGTGCATCTATCTGAGAGATCTGCTTACCTACTTCAGAAAAACAGACTTGAGTGCAAAACTCAAGTTCTGGAACAAGACTAAAGTCCAGAAGTGGACAAACAACTAAAATTTTCTGCCAGAGTTTGTTTACAGCCGATGAATGTGAAGAAGAAGAAGAATGAATGAATCAAGAATTGACATCACTTCACTTTGCTCAGTGAGCTGGCTACAGAACATCAAAGCAGGGTACATATAGAAACAGTAGCTTCATCTGATACAGCATACAGCGTTTCACAAAATAACCTTCACTTTTCTCCCTGGCTATGCTAGTGTGAAAGGCAGTGAGAGAGCAGCCGCGCTGGTTGGCAGTGCAACTATCAAGAATGGGCCATCTATGGACAGGAGAGACTAAACTAAACATTATGAGGCTTTTGATTTCATAGAAAATGATTTTTCAGTGAATAGACTGCCTACTCTGTGCATATCATTAGGAACTGCGAGAAGGAAAACCGTTCTAGAGCCACCCATCAACCAGAATAAAATGGGAGTTGTTAGTCTAAAACACTTGGAGACATACCCAGGAGGAGATCGTAGCACTTATGGTCATGTCTGATGTGTGATGAAGATGATCTTCAAAATGAATAATGATGCCAGTTTGCAATCAAGCTGAAAGTGTCTCCCCCCCCCCCCCTCCCCTTTGCCAAACCCTCTGCTCATCCCCAGCCTAATTATTCTCTCCAAATATGGATGCTCTGCCTGTTCTGTTGCACTGTTTACTCAACCCACAGATAGCATTTACCATATCCCATAGTAGCTTCCCACCCAGAGGGGCGGCAGCAGCTAATTGGAAAGTTATTATCTGACCTCAACCCCTAAATGGTAAGTTATTTTCTGACCTCTGCCTTGTTTGTTCCCACAGAGCATATAAAAGCCGTATGTATGTCTATATTTCTGCCAAAATCTGAACTCCAAATAAATTATCTTGGGACTGTTTTGGTTTCCTGTAGTGGTCTTAATCCCATTTGAAACCACTTTTGTATAACTGGCAGAGCTGTTGCTCCCTAACCTCATTGACAGTGTTTTCATTATTGACACAAATATTTTTTTAAATTTTCCTGGTGATATAATGATTTCAAATGTATTGTTTCAATTTTCTATCCAAAAGCACCGATGATGGCCTTCACTGCCCCAGACTCAGATCAAGGATTCAAGCAACCCCCAGAAAATGAGTATGGTGGACCCCCTAGAGGGGGCTATAGACCAGGGCCCCCTCAAGGATATAGAACATCTCCTCGGCCAGAGAAACCACCCATTGATGAGTATTATGATGACAGGCCTCCACAGAGTTACAGGCCTGGCCCACCACATGAACTCCGCCAGCAGTACCCACCTTCCATGAGAAGTGAAAAGGTTTCCTTGGGATCTCACTCTGGGGAGAGGGCTGTAGATATTTGAAATGCATGCTGCAGATTAAAATGTTGCCAGTCAGTTTAAACACACACATATATTTCATTGGCAGTTTATAAAACTTGATACAAATAGATGGTTTAATTTTTTTTTTTTAAATGGAAGAAGAGAAAACAGAACACTATTAAAGGTCTAGCTCCAATATATACAACTTGGCCTTCTTTCATTTTAGTTCTTAAAAGGATGATTGGTACATGTTGGGATTTACAGTTAGGTTGTGATGTCTGCATTTCGGCCCAACACATCTGACTTGAGCAAATACCTAATTAGTTGCCCTTTATGACATGCTTGTTGGGAGGCAGTTGGTGTATTCTTTTTTCCCTCCTACAGTGCAGCTGTGGAACCCACTCAGGGATAAAACTTAGTGACATTTTACTCAACTTTTTCAGCCCTAAGCATGCATCACTCATTCTACCCTCACCACTTGTTACCTGCAGCAATACAGTCAGTTTGTAATATAAGAACACTAAATGACAAACATAATTAAAGTAAACAAATCACCAGAAAATGAGAATAATAACATTAGATGACATATAGTTAAAGTAAAATGATAAAGAATAATTTATTTAGTTAACTGTTACACACAGCACAAAGAGGTTAGAAAAATGTACAGTAAGGAGTAACTATTACACACAGGTAGTGTTGACTGGTACTGAATGTGTTATCATTGCCATGCAAACTGCATATATAACATGTTTTAAGGTGTCTCGGTTATAACTTTACGGACAGTTCATGCCTCTTATATCATCATCATATTACTTGTAATTAAATTTATCTGAAACTTCAGCTAGTAATAGCATATTTGAATGAACCAACCTAGCTGTGCTGAATGCCAGAATACACATACTGTACAACAGTATCACCTCTTCATCTTCTTATTCTCCTCCACCTCCTTCTTTCCTTTACCCCTTCCCCCAACGACCACTAATTTTCTGATGTGAATGCCAGTTTACTTTTGTGAAGTCATTTGTTTGAAGAGATTGGATTTTTTTTTTTTTTACTTTACTCTGAGCAAGCAAACTTTATAAACATAAAATTGACTGAATCGTCTGACAATTATTACTACATTCCATTGACCTACATGCTCACCTGTAAAGTTTTTTTAAATGTATAATGGTAATAATGGATATAGATAATTGTTGTTTCTGTGACTTGGAAAGTTAGGTATAAAGAAGCTAGTACTTTAGTGACCACATCTGAGAAAAGGGGTTAGAGTTTTGCCAAACAGGCACTGAAATGGAAAACAAGTTGAGAAAATAAGAATGTCCAATATTAAGAAAAATGTGAAATGTACTGGTTTGGATTCCATCAGTGATAATGAAAAGATAGAATAGGATGGAGGGTCTAGACTGCTATCCCTCTGAGATATAGTGATGCAACAAAGACAAAGATGATATACATAAGAGGTTCAGAAAAGCATTCCTTCATGTCACCTAGAGCCAGTTTTAACATTGGCTTTAAGCACTGGACACATGATAGACAAGTCAAACAATTTCTGGGGGGCCTCATTGGTGTGGTTTTACAAAAGAATTATTACAGCTTCTCGTACTGCCAAAATCCTTTACCAAGGTGTTTTGAAACAAAAGACAGCTTATCACAGTGCATGAGTAGAGGGAAATTGAAACATAGGACAGCTGCAAAGAGAGGTGGAGGAAGACAGTGTGTGGAAAATTCTAGATAGCTTCTTGTCATGGCTTGGAGGGGGGTCAAAAAATAAATGAGTATTTTGAGATCACATGTTGTGTAGAGGCATGATATGCCCACGTTATTCAGTCTGGCACTTGATGGCGATGTGTCTGTAATGTTTATCTATGGAAGAAATAAACATGTAATTTGTGTGTGTTTATAGTGTTTTGTTTGCATTTTTTAAATTTTTTTGTGTCAACCAGATTGAGATGCAGTGTACATTCTTTTGCCATCACAGTATACCAATTTGTAGCGCATCAGTTTTGTAGTTTTTCTGAATTTTCTTCGCAAATCTTGAGTGATGGATTTGTTTTTTATTTAGCAGGATTCAGCAATACAGTCATTTCATGTCTACATCAGTCTTCCTCTCGTCTTCTGCCCAGATGTTCTTCTGTAGACGTTTTTTTATGTAGTTTGGTCTCACTGCATTCTTACTAAATGGCCAAACCACTGGATTCTCTGTCTTTAACTGTGATTCAGGCATAGATTTTTTTCCAATATTTTCTCTATTGCTAAATATTTGTAACCCTGCCACTTTGTGTATTCTTGATGACCTTTCAGAGAAGCAAATTTCACAAGAAATTAGTTTTCTCTTCCTGTGAGCTGCTCATTGTCAATGTTTGGCACTAATAGCGTAAAGCAGAGATGAAGATGCTATTAATCATCAGATGTTTTGCTGGAATGGAGACATTTGAGTTTCTGTGCAGCGGGGCTTACTGATAGATGACAGCATTTCCCTTCACAACTTTGGCTTCTATCTCTCTATTGAGCTGTCATCTTCTGTAAGTATGTTGAAAAGATATTTGAATTCATGTACTTGTTTTATTTTTGAACCACTGACATGGACATTCATATTGTCATGTTTCATACACAAACTTCCTTTCATTTTCTAATATTTTGTCTATTCTCCAAACGCTACAGTTATGTGAAATCATGCTTACTGAATATAACCCTTACCTGCAGTCTGTGGTGACAGCACTAACCATGTGACCTTACATCCTCAAACTTAAAACTAACTTCTGCCTACAAAAAAAAAAAGTGGCCAATACAAGCAGAACTGGCAGTTTTTTGGACTGTCCCATGCATAATATTACCGAAGTCCATTAACTGTAGCATATGCAGTGTTTTCAGAACAAAAAGTGAAACCTGTCATTTTTAAACACTGCATTTTTTACTGTTTCACCTATATGTTTACTGTTTCATGCTCTAACTATTATATTTTTACATTCTTTGTCTAGCCTGTGTATCTAACATAGTCACTAACATAGCTAAAGTTATTGTTGTTCTATGAATTCACAGTGAGAACAAAAATCATCAGCTAATCATCAAGGGATTTACCCATATTAATCTTTTCTCAGTGTCTCTGTGCTGACCTGCACAGTCTTTACATAAAAAGGTTAAAGTCGAGATGGCCTTAATTGCCCCAGGATTTTATCCCATAAGGATTGGTCTCTGTCTTCAGAATGACTAACTGCACAAACTCTCTACCTAATTGATGGCACAGTCATTGACCAGCTCTCTTTTTCACTCCCAAAGAAACTGTTTTTTGACTAGAATGGCTCAAGAGTTTTAGTCGGAGTAAAAATTGGTTTACAATTTGGAATCTAGATGGCCATATTGGCAGGCTAGTGTATTCTACTACAATACAGTATCTATGTCTGCTATTTTACAGGTTTTTTTTTCTTAAATTGCAAAGAACATTATTTCTAATATCCAAGTATTCATTTCATCTACACTAGTTTTCCATTTATTAGTACATTTTGCTATGCAAATCCATAAATGACTGATTTGCCATTGTTTTCTGTATAGTAGTACTAAAGACATTCCAAACATACTTTCTTGTAGTTCAGTTCTAAAAAAACAGTTACTTCAGCTGGCAGGTAGTTCAGATTACAGTTCTGCAGTTGGTGGCTCCAGTGTGTGTGTGTTTTTTTAAAAACTTCTGACAGAGCTGCTGATACATTCCATTGAGACAGTTCTAAATGAACAATTATTGCATCATAAAAAAAAATTCTGACAGAGGTGCTAACTGATACATTCCATTGAGACAGTTCTAAATGAACAATTACTGCAGCTGGTAGTTCAGATTACAGTTCTGCAGTTGGTGGCTCCAGTGTTTGTGCGTGCGCGTGTGTGTTTTTTTAAAACTTCTGGCAGCTGCTGATACATTCCATTGAGACAGTCACGTTATGCACCAGTTTGGTTCAGTTAACTTTATATCAACTTGGTAATTATAAGACAAAGATGATGGCCTATATTGGACACATCCTGAGGAGAAACAAACATATAATCATCAAGCAGTCACTGAAATGGGAAATATAGGGATTGCAGAAACGAGGATGTCCAGTTGAAACCCTACAATTTTTAACACATGTTGTTGAGAGAGGCCAGATGTACTGGACTAGATTCCATTTGTGATATCGAAAGGATTGCACGTGATTCAGTAGAATGGAGGAATAGACTGTGAGCCCTATGTGACTTATAATGCCACAACAGGATGATGATAATAGGTGAATTTAAAGAGAGACAGCCAACATCCAGAGAACCATTTCATTTCTACCCTTCCTTTGAGTCAAATCACGACCTGGAAGAAAAGAAACGCCAGGGATGGTTTACAGGGTCTTGATGATATGCATGTTTCTTACTACCAAGACTTTATAAATATATTTCTATTCCATGTTTAATTGTCATTTTAGAATGTTGATATACATATCTATGTATTGTCTTTGTGGAAAAAAATTATTAAAATGGAATCCTTTGTAAAGGTTAACCAAAAAAATTGTTTTTGTTTGTCACACACAAAAAAAAAAACTTGTTGCTATACATTAACATTATTAAACAAAATATGTATACAAAAGTTGACTTATGTTGTTGATTGTGTTAACATTTTTTACTATAGCACACCTCTAGACTGAAATATTCTGTTCTGGTCTTAACATAGATGAAAGATGGCTATAAGAGAAGGAAGAGAGTTTTTTTTTTGGGGGGGGGGGGGGGGTGTAAACTTCTTTCCTCTTCCTTAAAATTAAAACATCAGTAATTTCTATAAGGCAAGAACTAAACTGCCTTCTGCACATGTAGTGGATTTCTGTAGGTTTGACATCCAGAGTTCATTTTTTTGGCCATAGATTAGACCTTTTAGAGTTGTAGTTCATACATCCTTGTTGTATGTGATCTATAGAGTTGCTTGTCCCCATGCACTCTGTCGTAGAATATGTCTTCAGCTTTGTGTGTTTGTGAGTATTGAGTATGCTTGTAATGTTCTTAGAATAGTTAGTTGATTTGAGTTAAGAATTGACATC